CTTCATCTGCTGTGTGTTTTTCTGTCTTCTCATTTTGCTTATCTTACTGTGTTTGGGGTCTCCTTTTTGCAGCCTGCAGGTTTGTGGTTCCCGTTGTTTTTGGTGTCTGTCCCCAGTGGCTAAAGTTGGTTCACACTGGGTTGTGTAGTCTTCCTGGTGGAAGGGACTAGTGCCTGTGTTCTGGTGGATGAGGCTGGATCTTGTCTTTCTGGTGGGAAAGTCCACGTCTGTTGGTGTGTTTTGGGGTGTCTGTCTACTTATGATTTTAGGCAGCCTCTCTGCTAATGGGTGTGGTTGTGTTCCTGTCTTGCTAGTTGTTTGGCATAGGGTGTCCAGCACTGTAGCTTGCTGGTCGTTGAGTGAAGCTGGGTGCTGGTGTTGAGATGGAGATCTCTGGGAGATTTTCGCTGTTTCATATTATGTGGAGCTGGGAGGTCTCTTGTGGACCAGTGTCCTGAAGTTGGCTTTCCCACCTCAGAGGAACAGCACTGACTCCTGGCTGTAGCACCAAGAGCCTTTCATCCACACGGCTCAGAATAAAAGGGAGAAAAAGTAGAAAGAAAGAAAGAAAGAACGAAAGAAAGGAAAGAAAGAAAGGAGGGAGGGAGGGAGGAAGGAAGGCGGGAGGGAAGGAAGGAACGAAAGAAATAAAGAAGATAAAATAAAATAAAGTAAGGTAAAATAAAATAAAGTTATTAAAATAAAAAATAATTATTAAGAAAAAAAATTTTTTTAAAGAAAAAAAAAAACGGACGGATAGGACCCTAGGACAAATGGTTGAATCAAAGCTATACAGACAAAATCTCACACAGAAGCATACACGTACACACTCACAAAAAGAGGAAAAGGGGAAAAAATAAATCTTGCTCTCAAAGTCCACGTCCTTAATTTGGGATGATTCATTGTCTATTCATGTATTCCACAGATGCAGGGTACATCAAGTTGATTGTGTAGCTTTAATCCGCTGCTTCTGAGGCTGCTGGGAGAGATTTCCCTTTCTCTTCTTTGTTCTTACAGCTCCCGGAGCTCAGCTTTGGATTTGGCCCCGCCTCTGTGTGTAGGTCGCAGGAGGGCGTCTGTTCTTAGCTCAGACAGGACAGGGTTAAAGGAGCAGCTGCTTCGGGGACTCTGGCTCACTCAGGCCGGGGGTGGGGGTGGGAGGGAGCGGTAAGGAGTGCGGGGCAAGCCTGTGGCGGTAGAGGCTGGCGTAACGTTGCACCAGCCTGAGGTGTGCTGTGCGTTCTCCCAGGGAAGTTGTTCCTGGATCCCGGGACCCTGGCAGTGGCGGGCTGCACAGTCTCCCCGGAAGGGGGGTGTGGATAGTGATCTGTTCTCTGGGGTCCGCGCTTTTAGCTGCAGCTCGCGCCCGTCTCTGGAGCTCCTTTAAGTAGCGCTCTTAATCCCCTCTCCTCGCGCACTGGGAAACAAAGAGGGAAGAAAAAGTCGCTTGCCTCTTTGGCAGGTCCAGACTTTTCCCCGGACTCCCTTCTGGCTAGCCGTGGTGCACTAACCCCCTGCAGGCTGTGTTCATGCCAGCAACGCCAGTCCTCTCCCTGCCTCTGACCGAAGCCCGAGCCTCAGCTCCCAGCCCCGCCCGCCCCGGCGGGTGAGCAGACAAGCCTCTCGGGCTGGTGAGTGCCTGTGCGGGAATCTCCCCGCTTTGCCTTCCGCACCCCTGTTGCTGTGCTCTCCTCCGTGGCCTCGAAGCTCACCCCTCCGCCTCCCGCAGTCTCCGCCCACGAAGGGGCTTCCTAGTGTGTGGAAACCTTTCCTCCTTCACAGCTCCCTCCCACTGGTTCAGGTCCCGTTCCTATCCTTTTGTCTCTGTTTATTCTTTTTTCTTTTGCCCTACCCAGGTACATGGGGACTTTCTTGCCTTTTGGGAGGTCTGAGGTCTTCTGCCAGCGTTCAGTAGGTGTTCTGTAGGAGTTGTTCCACGTGTAGATGTATTTCTGGTGCATATGCTGGATCTTTCTGGAGAGCCCAGGGCAGGCACAAGGCAGTCTGGTGGCTTGAACAGTATTGGAGTGAGTCAGAACCAACTATTACTACCTCATTGTCTCTCTCCTTAGCATGTATACAACACCCTTCTTAATCATACCCTAGCTGACCTTACTGATTGTGGTCTTCACTCCCTATACCTTCCCTCTCATGCTGCACCCTGTGCTTTAGTAATATGAAACTTGGTTCCTCTCTGAACTTGTCATTATGCACTGATACCTCTTCCCTCTGATTGAAGAACTCCTAGTTATCCTTTAATTCCCAACTCACTTTAATTGTTTTGTCTTCTTTTAATTGATTTTTCCTTATTTTGTGTGCAGTGTGAAAATCACTCTTAGAACACTTTTATGTAGTATTGGAGTTTTATATTTTTTCTCTCATTTGATTAATAGATCTCAGAGGGCAGGAACAGTATCTTGTGAGTATTTGGTTTCTCATTCTTTCATCCAATAAAGATTCTTTGAGCACTTGTACTGCCAGGCACAGTGTAGTGAGGATATAAAAATGAATATATTACTGCCACACTCTGGTACAGGGTTTCTCAGCCTTGGTACTTTTGGACCACTTCTTTTTTGTGGGGGATGTCCTGTGCATTGTAGGATGTTTAGCAGCATCCCTGGCCAGTAGCACGTACCTAGTCCTGACAATCAAAAATATCTCCAGACATTGCCAAATGTCCCCTTGGGTGCAAATCAGCCATGGTTGAGAACCACTGGTCTAGTGGGAGAAAGCAAACTAAACATTGAGTTCTCGTTAAATATCAGGGCTTCTGGTAGATACTGTATTTATGTTATTTCAATTACCCCCACCCCCATTTTTCACTGATCTAATTGGGGATCAGATTTGTAACATAGTTTTCCCAGTACTACACAGCTAGTAAGTTATGAAGTTAGGATTTAATACCAAGTCTCCCTGACTCCAAAGCCCATATTTATTCCATTACAATTCATATAGTGATGACAGATAGTCAACAAGTAGATACAGTGTTTAATGAATACTATATTGTAGATAGATGTTCAGAAAGTCCTGTGAAAGCATAGAGGTGGGAATTTTCAATTATTTTCCTGGGTAGGGTAGAGATAGTATCAGATAAATCTTTACAGAGGAATGATGTTTAATGTGAGTTTGAAAGAGCATACATATGTTTTCTCAAGAGCACAAGGTAGTGTGAGTGATCATTTCAGATAGAGGGACTATATATTCCAAAGCAGAGAGGCTTGCTGACTTCTCTATCCTAAGCATTTAGTCTAACAAAATAAAAGCTCAAAAGATGCTTGAATGATCATATAGTATTTGTATTTACCCCTGGAAGAGCAACTGGGAGAATGTATTGTGTATACCTTTACTTATGAGCACACATTTAGTTAGAGTGGGGGCTATGAAGTAGGATGTTGGATAGAAAACAGTATGGCCACATTGCTATAATTTTATGTATTATTTTGTTTCTAGTTTTCCTGATTGGGCTTTTTCTGGGACTACTGTTGTGGTACAGAACAAATAGAGTGGTTATTCCCCACGAAATAAAGTATATTTTTATGCATACTAGTGGAAAGAAGTGACTTGCTATAAAATTAGTTAAGAAACATTTTTAAGCACCTGCTCTGTGCCAAGAATTTTTGACATGCTAGGGATATAAAAATGAAGACAGTCTTTTTAAAGTCCTTAATTAAACTCACTCCACGGTGTCCACTTGATCTTCTTCCCTGAACCTGTCCTTTTTCCCTGACAGAGTTGGCAGTGTCCTCTTTTGTCCACCATGGTACCTTGTAGGTATCTCTATTTTTTGATTCATTGATTAATTCAATGAATGACGTTTACTGAGTGACACTATAACGGGACGTAGATAGCAAATGCATGAATAATACAGTGTTAGGTAGTGATAAGCACATATTTGAAGAAAATGAAAACAGTAATAGGACTGTGACAAATACTGCTATTTTATACAGAATGGCCAGGGGAGGCCTTAATGAAAATGTAATATTTGAGAAGAGACATGGCATAAAATGAGCGAAAGAACCATGCAGATATCTGGAGGAAGACTGTTGCAGGCAGAGGGAATGAATGACTTTCAGAGTTTCTTAGGGAAGACTCTAGAGTTAGGTAAACAGCAAGGAGGCCAATTTCACTGCAGTGCAATTAGGGAGGGGTTTGTGCGGGGCTAAAGGCCAGTTTATGTATAATGTGCCAAGGTAAGGATTTTAGAGTTGGATTTCATTCTTAAGTGTGTTGGGAAACCATTGGAAGGTTTCAGGTAAGAATTTTAGGATTTTACATTTTATTCTCAAATATTTTGGGGAGTCATTTGAAAGTTTTGAATAGGCTAAAGGTATGATACTATTTACGTTTAAGAAAGGACTATTCTGGATACTCTGAATGCTTTGAATAGACCATAGGGCCACAGTTGGAAACAGACCAGTTCTGATACCGTTGCACTGGTCTTGCCAGGAGTTGAGGGTGCTTGAATTGGGGTGGGATTGATGGAGGTTGGTGAAGTGGTTGAATTCAATATATGTTTTGAAGGCACAGTCAATAGACTTCTACTCGTGTGGAATGTGAGAAGCGTTAAGGACAACTCAAAAGTTTTTTTTGGTCTGAGAAATGGGTAAATCATTGTGTTATATACTGATGAAGGAACAGGTTCTTAGAGTTGCAAGAATAAGTTCACTTTTTTAGCACTTTAACATGCTTTACTGGTTTCCTTTGTGTTCCCTATGAGGCTGTGAACTTCTTGATTCCAGGGACTAGGTTTTATAGTCTTTGTTTAATCACCCACCAGAACATGACTTGGCAGATTATAGGAACTCAGCACATACTTACACTTGCTGCTTTTGTATGTTAATACATGTGTAAGTGCTCTATTGGAGATGAAAAACTAATTTTTTGCTAAATTTTATAATTGAGAAGAGTTAATATTTCCATTCAAATAATTAAAAATGAAAAATTTAAAATTAAGTTGCTATTTATTATTAATTATTCCTAATTGGAATTTTACTTTGTAGGTGGCACATTTTTACAATTCTATCGATCAACAAATGATTCAAAGTCAGAGACCAATGATGTTACAATCTGCCTTAGCGTTTGAACAGATAATTAAGGTAAATGGACTTTTTATGCTATTATAATTAGATTTTACATGTGAAGTGTTTCTTATTTCTTAGTTTTTTTGTATACCCTTCAGCTTAACACAGCCATTGATCTAAGGCTTTATTTTGCTCCCCAGTGACTTCCTTCAGTCTTAACAAGTAACGTTTTTTACAACTGTAGATTTAAACAGTTATAATGTTTCACATATTTTGGTGCTGATTTTGATCAATTGAATTTATATATATATATATATTTATATATATGTAGTACAGTAAGTCCCCTACATATGAACCTTCAAGTTGCGAACTTTCAGAGATGTGAACGTGCGTTCCATCAACATCAGGCATGAGTGAAACTGCAGCTTGCCTTCCCGCTCCTGTTGCTGACGATCCTTCAGCTCTACCATCTCCCACCCCTTCTGCCTCCTCCAGTCAGTAACTCTTCTTGCCTGATCACTCGATGCCAGCCCCTTTATGCCAGCTGTTGTACTGTACTAATGTACTTTTCAAGGTACTGTACTGCTAAGATTAAAAACGTTTTTTTAATTTTTTGTGTCTGGTTTTATGTATTATTTGTGTGAAAGGTATTATAAGCGTATTACAGTACAGTACAATATAGCCGATTGTGTTAGTTGGGTACCTAGGCTAACTTTTTTGGATTTGCAAACAAATTGGACTTATGAATGTGCTCTCGGAATGGAACTCGTTCGTATGTAGGGGACTTACTGTATACAAACTTGTATGCTATTATATTTACTTATTCACTGAAGTGCGAGGTCCTTATATACAAGACTCTTTAGTGCTTTTCCATCATCTCCTGATTTTATAATTTAAGTTTTATTTGCTCTTTATCTATGCTTATTTAAATATCCACACATATGAAATTAGGAAAACCCACACTAGTTTTTAAACTGTTAGTATGTGACTGCTCACTTTTTGAAATAAACATTTTTAGTCTTCAGAGACATGAAATATTTTAAAAGATAAGTAGAAGAGGGATATACCCATTAATTCTTCTTTTATTTAAAGTGGATAGCTAGTTGTGTCATGGTTCTCAAGACCACCCCCAGGTTCTGTGATTTACTAGGAGGACTCATAGGCCTCAGGGTATAGTTGTACTCACAGATGATTTACTTATGATTTATTACAGTGAGAGGAGGCAAAGCAAAGTCAGCAAAGGAAAAGGTACATGGGGTGAAATCCTGGGGAAACCAGGTGCAAGCTTTCAAGAGTCCTTTCCCAGTGTAATCACCCAGGGCATGCTTAATTTCTCCAGCAAGAAGTAGCACATGTGAAATATTGCTTTACTAGGAAAGATCATTGCCCAGGCTTTTATCGGGAACTGGTCATGTAGGTATCTTCTGCCTTAATATGTACCAAAATTCCAGATTCCCAGAAGACAATCAAGTGTTCAGCATAAACCATATTGTTTAGGTACAGTGAGCCACTCTTAAAAATTAGAGTGGTGGGAACTCTTCCAAAATCCAAGTTCTCAGATGCCAGCTAAGGGCCAATCTTTTAAGCAGACCTTTTAAGGGATAACAGTCAGACCTGCTAAGATAACTTTTTAATGCACACTAGTTCTCAGGCTTAAAATTTACTAGAAGTTATATAATTCATATTATAGATGTTATTAAATTTTTTTTCTTATTGCCAGAGCTCAATATGAGTTTATGATGGAAAATTTCAAAAATATAGGTAAACAGAAAGAACAAATGTTTTATGATTGTACTACTAAGAGTTGGCCATTCTTAATAGTGTATATGTCATTTTAAACTTTTTTTTCTGTGCATGTTTACAAGTGTACTTTTTGAAAATGGGTTAATACTTTATTATTTTTAAACTTTTTCACCTAATAGATAATGTTTTAAATCAGAGTGTTCAGAGCCCTTTCTTCTGTAATAAATGTATTCAAAATTACATCTGTTGATATTTCTAAAGAGGAAGCTTATTTTGAGAAATTGGGTTGCGAGAAGTAAATAATTATATTTAACATATGTTAAATGAGACATAGTAGGGGACAAAAACTAAGATAGGAGGAGAAGGAACACTAAAGTTCTTAATACTCCCCTGGCCACTCTCTATATTGGAGAGCAAGAACTCTTAATTTATTTATTTTTATACACTAGTAATACAACAGTAAGTAGTGTGTAGTAATTATTCAGTAAATTTTTTTTGAACTGATTCACAGAGTATTTTATTGAATTTATTATAATTGTTTAGTTTCGTTCATTCATCACCTGTTTATAGAGGGTCACAATATGCCAGAGACTTGCTATGCCTTAATATATACCAGTTCAAGTGAAGTATAGAAACCTCACTTGTAGTTAGGTCTCTTTATCCTCTTCATTTTTATATATTTGTCTTAAATATTTAGTAACCTTTACATACATGAAACACTGCATCAGATGGGGTTTGCTTCAATCATCACATATGATTTAAGAAACTCATGAGAAGGATAGTTTATTTTTTATTTACGTTTTCCACATCCCAATGTTCTTTTTTCCTTTCTAAAGTTCCACGCTTTTTTAAAAAAATCATTTCCTTCTTATTGAGAAAACTTCCTTTAGCCATACTTTTAAGAGTAGGTTTGCTAGTGACAGATTCTCTTAGTTTTTGTTTAAGAATGTTTTTATTTTCCCTCATTCCTGAAGGATAGTTTCACCAGATATATAATTCATGGTTGACAGTTGTTGTCTATTTTCTTTTTTTTTAGAGAGAAATTGTTTCTAAGTTACTTTATTTTTTTAATGTTTCATTTATTTTATTTTATTTATTTATTTTTGGCTGCATTGGGTTTTCCTTGCTGCACATGGGCTTTCTTCTAGTTGCGGCGAGTGGGGGCTGCTCTTTGTTGTGGTGCGTGAGCTTCTCATTGCGGTGGCTTCTCTTGTTGTGGAGCATGGGCTCTAGGCTCATGGGCTTCAGTAGTTGTGGCTCATGGGCTCTAGAGTGCAGGGTCAGTAGTTGTGGTGCATGGGCTTCGTTGCTCCATGGCATGTGGGATCTTCCCGGACCAGGACTCGAACACGGGTCCTCTGCATTGGCAGGTGGATTCTTAACCACTGTGCCTCCAGGGAAGCCCAACAGTTGTTTTCTTTTAGCACTTTAAAATGTTGTTCCACTTCCTCCTGGCCCTCATGGTTTCAGCTGAGAAATCCACTGCCATTCAAATTTGCATTCCTTTCTAAGTGAAGCGTTGTTTGTTTCTGAAACAGTGAGGTACAGCTTGAAGACAGGGTGAGTGTATATGTTAAAATTTCTGCTGGGCTCTGCAGATACTATCCCGACAAAAATGGAACACTGACTTGCACTGCTTCCTTTTCAGATGAGTGGAGTTGAAGTTTAGTGACCCCTTTTCCCCTACTGACACCTTCCCATGAAAGTGGGACATCAATTGGCAGTGTCTTGTTGCCTCCAAGTAGAGTGTAAGCGTAGCTCCCTTCTAAGCTCTGTTGACATGATTGGGAGGATGTGGAGGGCTGATTCACACTGCTCTGTTGCAGCGTAATGGGGGTAGAGGCTCAGCTCTCTGTTAAGCCCCACTGACATAAGCAGGGGATGGAAGATCAGCTCACTTCCTGGTCCCAATGAAACTGAAGAAGGGGGTGGGTTTCTATTGGTGTTAAGTTGGAGTAGGGTGCGTATTGCTAAAAAGGTTTTCTGTCATTAGGCCACTGTTTTTCTGGTCCTGTGGACAGAGGGAACAGGCTTCTTCTGGAGGTTTTTTGTCTGTCCCTGGGGGTGGTTCCAGGTTGGAGGCTTCTCCAGCATACTGTCTGGGATATAAGGGAGACATTAAGGAAACACAGGTGTGTTGTTCCTCAATTCCCAAGGTTTCTAGGCTGTCCACCTTCTTATTTCTATCTTTTAGTATTCCTATGCTTGTTTGTTGTGTTATGTCCAGGGTATTTTAGTTGTAAGAGGGAGAACTTGGAAGGAATGGGGCTACTCAGTTCTGGGCAGAATGCCTTATCATTTATAAAATGGAAAAAACTATTGTGTGCTCTTTTATTGCACGTAAATATTAGGGATAATTGGACTAATGATGTAGAATATTGAATCTTTTCAAAAAAAGAAATGTGTTAAATACTAAATGTCATTTGTTGTACCTTAGAATTCAAAAGTAGGAAGTGGGGGAAAGTCACAGATTACTTGGAATAATCCTAAAGAATTAGAAGGCTACATCCAAAAACTCCAAAATGCTGCTGAACGACTTGCCACTGAAAATAGAAGACTGAGAAAATGGCACATTACATTTTGCGAAAAGGTATATTTTATTTATAAAATTTAATAAGCTATGAATAGTATTCTTTAAAAAGTAATTAGATTATAATTTTAAATAACTTCCTATTTGGAAATAATTTGAGACTTTAAGTTGCAAAAATAGTTTAAAGAGTTCACACTTGCCCTTCACCCAGCTTTCCCTATTGTCATCAACTTATGTAACCATAGTACATTTATCAAAACTAGGAAATAAACTGTTTTGAATTTTATAACTTTTTCCACTGATGTCCTTTTTCCTTTTGAGTGTCCAATCCAGGATCCCACCTTGCATTTAAATGTTGAGGCTCTGTAGTCTCCTACTCCTCAGTCTTACCTTGTTTTTCATGACCTTGATACTTTTGATGAGTACTGGTCAGTTATTTTGTAATGTCTCTTTTTTTTTTTTTTTTTTTTTTTTTTTTTTTTTTTTTTTTTTTTTTTTGTGGTACGCAGGCCTCTCACTGTTGTGGCCTCTCCCGTTGCGGAGCACAGGCTCTGGAAGCGCAGGCTCAGCGGCCATGGCTCACTGGCCCAGCCGCTCCACGGCATGTGGGATCTTCCCGGACCGGGGCACGAACCCGTGTCCCCTGCATCGGCAGGCGGACTCTCAACCACTGCGCCACCACGGAAGCCCCTGTAATGTCTCTTGATTTGGTTTTATATGATGCTTTCTCATTTTAGATTGAGATTATACAATTTTGGTAGGAATACCACAGAAGTGATATTTTGCCTTTCTCAGTACATTGATTAGGTATTGATATGTCTTATTATAGGTTGAGTTAACCTTTATCACTTGGGTAAGGTGGTACCTGTCAAGATTTTCTACTGAAATTATTATGTTCTAATTTTTAATAGGTGGTAGTTCTTATGGACATTGATTTGCTTCGGCAGCAACAGCGGTGGAAAGATGGATTACAAGAATTAAGAACTGGCTTAGCAAGTGTAGAAGCACAGGTAAAGTGTGTTTTACTTTGTGTCTACACTTTGTAATATGACCTTTTCAGAATGTGAATATATGAATTGATGAAAAGTTCATAAAGGTTATCTGTAAATCTTTACTAATGAATTCCTCATAAATTTAGAATTTGACTGAATTATATATAAAGACCATAAATTAGCAATGCATTTACGTTTAAAAATATGTTTCTGTTTGTCTTACGGAATTCCAGATCCCTCAATTTAGACTTTGTAAATAGTTTCTCTGACATGGTGCTAAAATATCTATCATTTGTTAGTTTTCTTTTAGGTGATTGTTACGTCTGTTGTGACAAAGTTAAGTTTAGGCAGAAGCCTAATGACTGAAATAACTCTGTTTCAGAATTTTTTCTTTTTTTTGGGTAAAATGTCAGTTCCACATGCATTTTGATATGAGATGATCTGTATAAAAGTAGTTTGCACAGAGTCTACCTAGTAGGTGATAAAGGGATCTTAGTGGAATATGAGGTAAGTATCTTAAACATTTACATATATTTTTCAGCTCTTAGAACTTCAAGAAAAAAATTAAAATGAAAGTATTAGAATTGATATGTTTATGGTTATATGGAAGCAAAAAAGTATGTAAACTATACTGTGCATTCTTTTGTTTTAAATGTATCATGTTTTTAAATGTGCAATGGATTATTTAGGGAGTGAAGGGAATAGAAGAGTTATACTTGATGGGAATTTTTGAAAAAGGACTAAGAAATTTACAAAATAAACTATTGTTCCTGTTATTGTTGTTGTTTTAATAGGATCATAAAATAAAGTCCATATGTAAAATGCATTTACTATTAACTTGATTTTTAAAATTTTTCTGATCTTTTTGTGTACTATTTATAAGCACGAAGATTAGAGATTTTCATATTTGACTTTATATATACAAGTAGCAATTAAGGAATCACATGTTTTAAGATATTTAAGATGAGGGTTTTTTTGCTTATAATTTTACCAAATGTGATATGAAAGCATTAAATGAAAACCCATTCTACCACCTAATTATTAAATAAAAAATGTGAATATAACATATTAGGGATTCCAAGCAAGTGACATGCATGCGTGGAAACAGCACTGGAATCATCAACTGTACAAAGCTCTGGAACATCAGTATCAGATGGGCTTAGAAGCACTTAATGAGAATCTGCCAGAAATAAATATAGACTTAACATACAAGTAAGATTTTTTAAACTAATTTTCAATCTATACTTTTCCAATAATTTATATGTTAAAGTTATTTATTTGCTTTCAGACAAGGACGATTACAATTCAAGCCTCCTTTTGAAGAAATTCGGGCTAAATATTATAGAGAAATGAAGAGATTCATCGGCATTCCTAATCAGTTTAAGGGAGTGGGTGAAGCAGGAGATGAATCTATTTTTTCTATTATGATTGATAGAAATGCAAGTGGATTTCTGACTATTTTCAGCAAAGCAGAAGATCTATTTAGGAGATTGTCAGCTGTTTTACATCAACATAAGGTATGGAACATGTAATTTTCTGTCCTACTGTAATATTCATCTGATTGATTGAATTAGTATTAAATGTACAAATCAACAAATTATCTTGTGTGGCATAAAGTAAAAATAATGCAAGCCAGAGAGCCAAAGTTTAGAATTCATATACAATCTAGGTTTATGCTATAGATGAGAAAAATGTTACCCTAAATTTTTTTTCTCTCTTTTTGAAGATTGAGAAGCTAGTTTCTCTTTCTTTTCTTTTTTTGAATGTTGTATCAACTTGGAATTTGACGTGACTCTGTTGTGTCATTTTTAATTCCTTTCAGGAAAATATATCCTTTTCTTTATTCTTTGGATTGAGAGCAATCCATGGAGGGAAGCCCTCAACGTTAATGAAATTGAGATGATTTAATTTCTTACTTTTGTTAAGGTGCATCATACTAACTCTCCAGAGATAAACCCCTATTGCATTTATTGCTCGTTTGATTGATCCTGAGGCATATGACTGAGAATTCATCAAGTTTCTTAACTGCCGCTGCAGTGCTTCTTCTGCATTTTATTTTTCTGGAATTAATTGAATCTGGATACTTTCGGATTTGTTGCCTATAGTAGCTCTTGGCTTTGCAGAAGTGATTCTGTCTTTGACACATCAAACTTGAGAATCTAAAGAAAAGTTTTTTGCAGTCTCTTCAAAAAAGTTTTATGATCAGTATATTTTTATGTATTGTTTTTTTTTCCTGTTCATTCTTTAGGCTATGTGATAATGATTACATTTATATACTTAAACTGAAATTTATTTGAAACCTCACATTTGCCCCTTTTTATTGTTTTTAATAGTTGGACTCTAATCTTTTAAATGGTAACTTATTCTATTTTTTTAATAATATGTTTTCCATTTATACAGGAATGGATTGTAATTGGGCAAGTTGATATGGAAGTTCTAGTGGAAAAGCATCTTTCTACAGTACATGATTGGGAGAAAAATTTTAAAGCACTGAAAATAAAAGGGAAAGAAGTAGAACGACTTCCAAGGTATGATACAGAAGTTAAAGTAGTACTTATGTATCATAGCAGTTCTTGCCATGGGATAGTATGGGTACTCTTCATTTAGTGGTACTGAAGTCCAGTCATCGGTCTTACCTCCTCTAGAGCTCAGCTATGACACTTGAGAATCATCTGAGTAGAGAATTGCTGAGACTAAGAAAACCTCTTCTAGAGGTTCGGCTGGCTGAGACCTAGTTGGATAGGACAGACTGGGGGAAGAGGCTTCTTTCCAGATCTGGTGTGAGGATCTAATATTTGATGTGCACGGGCACAGTCTAAGAATGGTAAGAATCTACTACTGAGAGCATACTGGAGGACATTTGACTCCAATTTTGTATGGCTCTGCCCCCTTTCAAAATGCCCTGGGAGGCACACAAGATAGTGCTGCCTCTGGGTATTGCCCTAAATGTGGAGGAGACCTTCTGAGGGGCATTTCATAACCCAGAATATCCCCTTCACTGTCTGGAATTCCGATCACTGAAACCATTCTATGCAATAAGCCCTGGGAAGGAAGGAAGGGCCTTGTTTAATTGTGTATATATTACCTATAAAGTATAATATCACTTTTGTTAATCCATTTGTTCTTTCTTTCAATAACTATTTGGTGCTCATTTACAATATGTAAAACCTTGTCCTGTGGGAGTAGAAAGATGAAGACAGAGTTCCTGAGATGAATTTGCTTGCTCTCTCGTAGTGCAATAAGACAAGTATGTTTGATGATTAAGTCAAGTACACGCAGGCGTTGAGAGAGTGGGCTCTGGAGGTAGATGGCTCTTACTAGCTGCATGAGTTTGACAGTCATTTCAACCCTGTGAACCTCCATTTCCTCAGCTTTAAAGCAATTACAACTATATTATTTATCTCAGTGTTTTGCCGATTAAATGAGTAATTTGCATGTAAATTAATGGTAGAGGTTAAGTTCTCAATAAATGCTAGTTGTTATTAATTGTTATTAATACTAGATAGAATAATCTATATTCCATATTAGAGACTGGACTAAAGGCTATGGAGATTTACAGGATGATATCCCATCCATTTGTGGCAAAATCAGGGAAAGCTTCATTAAGATAGAAATAGTTGAACTAGGATTTTGATGGGTAGAAATGAGAATTGGAGGTTAAAGCAGAGTCTCTCAGGAGAGGGATTTATATACTGAAAACAGAAGTTGGTTAATTGAGAATTTGATTAGGGTTAATGTTTTATTAGGGACTAGAGGAGATATTTCTGGAAAGGAGTAGATAAAGTACAGATTTGGGAGAGTCTTACATTCTAAAACAGGGAATTTGGATGTTATTCGTGTTAGAATGATTAGTTGTTGAAGGTTTCTAAACAGAAGCGTGTTAGTACCAAAGCTATACATTAGGAATGTTAATCTGGAAATAGAGTTGTATGGTGGAATCAAGAGATCCTGGAGGAAGAGAGGTTCGTCTGTCTTCATCCAGAAACCCAGTAATAATTAATTGAATCAAGTTGTTGGTATTCAAAATGTGGAGGAGGAAATATTATGAGGTATTAAGGGGTCTTACTTTTGAAGGAAGATGAGGGATGAGGAATAGAGAAGAGACAAATGGCTTGAAGGTTTGAACTTGGATGACTAGGATAATGATAGTGCCATTAATGTTACTTTGAAGTAAGGAAAAGTCAGTGTTTTTGTAATGTTTGAACATGAGATTTCTCTGTTGGATACTCTATTTGAGCCCATTTTTGTTTGACTTTATGCTGTTACCTGACTGCCCAAGACCTCTACTGCTGCTACTGCTATTTGTTTGTCCTTTTCTATAGACGGGGTTTCTATTTATACTTCCCTGCCAAAGCTAAACAAAACAAAAAGAATGCCTGTCCTACATGCCATATTTCATTTTTCTGTTTCTTGCTTATAAGTTAACATGTATTCATCTAAGCTAATACACACATATATATACACACAGATAATTATTTTATGGGTACTTTTGGGAAATATGCTGTAAGATTAGAAAATCCATATCCTGAGGATGTATTTCAGATACTGCAGTAAGGATATACTTTTGGGGTAGGCCATCTATGTCCATCCCATTCTGTCTATGGCTGAATGGAGCCTCAATTGCACATTAACAATATTTTCAATTGAAAGGTGAACATTAGTCTTGTCCACAAGATTCAGTGTGTACAACTCTGCTGTAATCATATCACTTTATGTATTAATTCATTAGTAAAATATGGTATAATGTTTTTAGGTTTACCAAAATCATCTATTTTCATATATCAAATGTTAGAAATTTAGACATTTTGTGTCAGGATTTCAAAAATCAAATAACTTCATGTATAAGACAAATTGACTCTTAGGTTTTGGTGGTTAAGAACTGGAGTTTAAACCTCTCCAATTAGTGGGTGATTGAGAATAAATAAAACTTTAAGAGAAAATTGTATTTTTATAATGAAACTTTAACGCTTATAACTTGCTTTCTAAGAATATCACCTGGTTCTATGTTTTAAAAAGAGTCTTTCTAAATAATTTTTTAGACCAAAATTTCCAGACTTTTTTTACTTTATATAATTTAAGATAAATATGAGGTTTACTCAGATGAATGATTCTGGTTCAACTTCTGTTTGTTTAGAACATTATAATTTGCATTCAGAGTACCATGCAAAGAATTAATGTTCTTAAAAATATATGCCTTTTTTCTGATTGTTAAAATAGTACATTTGTTTTATAAATTTTTTAAAATATAAAAAGGCATAATGACAATTGCTGTTAATATTTGATGTTTTGGACATATTAGTACATCTGCTTACAAAATTTGGATCATACTGTATCCTGCTATTTATTTAACACTAATCATTAGTATTTCACCATGTCATTATCTGGTCCTCAAAAATATGACTTTAAATTGTATAGATATATAATAATTTATTTAGCCACTCTGGTATTTAGTTTACTTCTATTTTTTCACTATTATAATTAATACTTTGAAGAAGATACCTGTATGTAAATCTTGGAGTCTGCCCTGAAAATCTCCTTAGGATAAGTTCTAAAAGTGAAGTTACTAAGATAAAAGAATATACCTATTTTAAAATTTGATATAGGTAAATTGCCCTTGCAAAAGTTGTATTGTTTTATACTCTGACCAACAGTTCTGAGAGTTCTCTATTTGCCCACATGATTGAAGATATGAATTAACAATTCATTGCATTCTTGTGAATTAGATAGGTAGAAAATGGTATGTTTTATTGCTTTAGTGTCTTTATAATCTATATTCACTTTCTATGTTTGTTTTATTTTCCCTATCATTATTGCTTGTACTTTGACTACAGGATAATAATTTATTTTATAAATCTTTAAATAAGTATGTTACATACTGTGACAAGTAAAGCACGTAAAAATTTAAATATTTTCATGTTGATACTTTAGTAAATTCATAATGTGCTGCTTTTTTTTAAACTGATACATTGGATTATTAAAAACTGTAGAATTATTACAAAATCATTGTTTAATGAAAAACTTCATATTAGTATGTGTTAGTATTAGTATGTGTTAGTATTAGTATGTGTTCATTTTTGCTAAATGAAATCTAAATGTGCTTAAAGATCACAATAATATGTTTGGATGATATTGTAAAATGTATTACACAAACTCATATTATAATGAGACTCTTTTCTTGTGATTAGTCTTTTTCATGTCAGAATATGTCCTTTGGCATTTTTCAGTACTGTCAAGGTAGATTGTTTAAATATTAATTGTAACCCTGTGAAGACTGTGATTGATGATCTCATCCAGAAGTTATTTGACGTGCTTGTTCTTTCTTTGAAGAAGTCCATTCAGGGTAAAGACACTTTTACATTTTTATAGTTATGAAATATGAATCTCAATGATGATTAAAATAAAAGATAATCTAGAAAGTAATATGAAATAAAATATGCTTAAAGTAGTTTTAATAAAGTAGGAAACTCCATATTCAACTCCTGAGAGGTCTAAAAATTGAAGGCATTTTTTATTATTTGCAGTGTGAGCTAGTATCAGTTTGTTTCATATGCTACTGAGAAAGGAGGTAATTCTGGTATAATGTATTTATCCTTATCTCTTCAAATGACTACAGGCATAACTTGGAGATATTGTGGGTTTAGTTCCAGACCACCGCAATAAAGAATATTGTGATAAAGAGAGCCGTGGGAATCTTTTGGTCTCCCAGTGCATATAAAAGTTATGTTTACATATACTGTAGTCTGTTAAGGTTGCAGTAAGCATTATGTCTGAATAAACAATTTACATACCTTAGTTAAAAAATGCTTTATTGCTAAAAAATGCTAACCATCACCTGAGCCTTCAGTGAGTCATAATCTTTTTGCTGGTGGAGGGTCTTGCCTTGACGTTGATGGCTGCTGACTGATCAGGGAGGTGGTTGCTGAAGGGTGGGGTGGCCGTGGCAGTTTCTTAAAATAAGACAACTCTGAAGTGTGCTGCATCGATTGACTCTTCCTTTCTCTGTAGCGTGCAATGCTGTTTGATAGCATTTTACCCACAGTAATACTTCTTTCAAAATTGGAGTCAGCCTCCTCAAACCCTGCTGCTGCTTCATTAACTAAGTTCATTCAGTATTCTAAATCCTTTGTTATCATTTCAACAATCTTCACAGCATCTTCACCAGGACTAGATTCTCAAAATTACAAGTAACCACTTTCTTTGCTTATCCATAAGAAGCAATGCCTCATTTGTGAAAGTTTTATCATGAGATTGCAGGAATTCATTCACATCTTTAAGCTCCACCTCTAATTCTAGTTCTCTTGCTATTTTTATCTTATCTTTAGTTACTTCCTCCACTGAAGTCTTGAATCCCTCAAAGTCATCCATGAGGGTTGGAATCAACTTCTTCCAAACTCCTGTTAACATTTATATTTTGACCTCTTTCCATGAATCACGAATGCTCTTAATTGCATCTGGAATGGTGAATCCCTTCCAGAAGATTTTCAATTTATTTTGCCCAGATGCATCAGATAAATCACTCTCAGTTGCAGCTATAGCCTTATAAAATGTATTTCTTAAATAATAAGACTTGAATGTTGAAATTACTTATTGATCTATGGGCAGCAGAATGGATGTTGTGTTAGCAGGCATGAAAACAACATGTATCTTGTACATCTCCATCAGAGCACTTGGATGACCAGGTGCATTGTCAATGAGCAGTTGTATTTTGAATCTTTTTTTTCTGAGCAGTAGCTCTCAGCAGTGAGCTTAAAATATTCAGTAAACCATATTGTAAACAGATGTGCTGTCATCAATCTTTGTTGTTCCATTTCTGGAGCACAGGCAGAATAGATTCAACATAATTCTTAAAGGTGCTGTGATTTTTTTGAATGGCAGATGAGCATTGGCATCAACTTAAGTTACCAGCTGCATTAGCCTCTAACAAGAGAGTCAGCCTATCTTTTGAATCTTTGAATCCAGGCATTGACTTCTCTCTAGCTGTGAAAGTCCTCGATGGTATCTTCTTCTAATAGAAGGCTTCTTCATCTCCATTGAAAATCTGTTGTTTAGTGGAGCAGCTTTCATTAACTATCTTAGCTAGATCATCTGGATAACTTGCTGCAGTTTGTGTATCAGCACATGCTGCTTCATCTTATACTTTTTATGTTGCGGAGATGGCTTCTTTCTTTAAATCTCATGAACCAACCTCTGTTAGCTTCAAACTTTTCTTCTGCAGCTTCCTCACCTCTCTCAGTCTTTACAGAATTGAAGAGAGTTGGGGCCTTGCTCTGGATTATGCTGTGGTTTAAGGGGCTGTTGTAGCTGGTTTGATCTTCTATTCAGATCACTAAAACTTTCTCCATATAAACAGTAATCCTGTTTCGCTTTCTTACCATTTGTGTTCACTGGAGAACAGCATATTAATTTCCCTTAAGAACTTCTCCTTGGCTAACTGTTTGGTGCAAGAGGCCTAGTTTTTGGCCTATCTCATCATTAGACATGCCTTCCTCACTAAGCTTAATCATTTCTAGCTTTTGGTTTAAAGTGAGAGATGTGTCACTCTTTCTTTCACTTGAATACTCAGGGGCCATTGTAGCCTTATTAATTGGCCCAATTTCAATATTTTTGTGTCTGAGGGAATAGAGAGGTGAAACAGCCAGAATATATACAACATTTGTCAGTTAAGTTCACTGTTTTACGTGGGTGTGGTTCATGGTGCCCCAAAACAATTAGAACAGTAACATCAAAGATCACTGATCACAGATCACCATAACAAATGTAATTAATAATGGAAAAGTTTGAAATATTGGGGGAATTACCAAGACGTGACACAAAGACATGAAGCAAGTAAATGCTGTTGGAAAAATGCCACTGATAAACTTGCTCCATGCAGAGTTGCCACAAACCTTCAATATGTAAAAAATGCAAAATCTGCAAAGCACAATAAAGTGAAGCACAATAAAATGAGGTATGCCTGTACTATTTTCCAAAATATCAGTGTTTCCTTTTTCCTTTAAGCTGTGGTGTTTTAGCATATTATTTAAAAGACTGAAAAAGTTACCAATTTTGAGTAAAATTTACTGAGTGAGTACATTTTAAATTTCTTCTCAAAAATTTTAAGTGTCATGTAAAACAATTACAGTTTCATGAGAAGAAATTTCTTTGCTTATTCTACATTTTGAATTTTGCTTTATGAAAGCAAATGACTACTTAGGATTTAATGTATTTCATATAGTGATTACTTCTAACATTCCTTGATTTAGAAATTATGTAATTAAATATTTTTCGTGATAATAATTTTTCTTATATTTCAATGTTACCTATTTCAGCTCATTTACATGAAATTGATACATTCGTTACTGAAGCTATGGCAGTCTTAACAATTATGCCACAATCTGTGGAAGAGATAGGTAATACAAATTTACAATATAGTAAGCTACAAGAACGGAAGCCAGAGGTGAGAATCACAAAGCAATTTATTTATTCTTTTACTGTACTGGGGATGATTAAATTAGGTAATTTTATGTGACTATTTAGAAATATCATATAATTGCATTATAAGGAAGTCTATAAAATCTAGTCCAATTGATCAGTTCATGACTGGACTCTTGATGTTATGTTGTTGTAATGAAACAGTAACAATAATGCTTATTATTATTTTCAGAAGTATTTGTGGTCTCTTTTATGATGTGGCTTATTAGAATAAAACTAAACATAAATAATTCATGCTGTTACTTCCAGGGTTGTACTTTTAAGATGCTGAAGTATGAAGTTAGAGCAGAATTAGGAGCACACACACACACACACACACACACACACTCACATATGATGGAGGAGCTCATAATTAGAGACAAAGATAAAAAAAAGTGAAGGATTCATAAAAACAGTATCTAGAAGGCTAGAGCCTAGAATAAGCAAGTCAAAATTTTATAGAACATATTATAGATGATCTTAGTTATGTTTAGAAGAAGGAGGAGAAATAATTCAAAATAGAATACAAAGTTTTTTATGCTCCTATTATGTGATAGGCTTAAAATTATTAGATAGATTAGAGGTAAATGAAATAATACACCTTCATGGTGGAAGGAATTATAAACTTTTATATGGAAAGCTTAAAGGTATAAAGAGGATTTAAAGGCAAATAAAATAATGTACTTGTCTAGTAGAAGGAAATAACTAAAGAAGGAATAGCATTATGAGCTGTGGCAGTTAGCTTGATTTAGCAGAGGCGTTCATTCATTTATTTATTTGACAGATACTTATAGATCATCGGATATATTCTAGGCATTGTGCTAGGAGTTGTGGTTACAGCTATGAACATGCTCTATTCTCATGAAATTTGCATTCGTGTGTGTGTGTGTTTGTGTGTGTGTGTGTCAGAGAGAGAGAGAGGGAGAGACAGAGACAGGACAGAGAAAAGAGAGGAGCAAGAGGAGCTAGATGACATCTATCTGCACTGAGACCTGAAAAACTTAAGGAGGCAACCATTCCGCGATTTAGGGGGCAGATAGAACAACAAATACAAAGATCTTAAGGTAGAGAAGGAGTTTGGTATGCTTAAGGAAGATAGGTGAAAATATTGTCAAGAAACTTAGTTATCAAGAAAGCTATATTATTCAAGGAAAAAATGATTTGAGGTGAAATTGGAGAGGTAGGCAAGGGCCAGATTATGAAGGTACTTTTAAACAATCATAAGGATTTGGGTTTTTTTTTCTAAAAGTAATAGAAAGTCCTTACAGGGATTTAAGCAGGGAAGGGATACAGTCTGGTTTACATTTTGAAGTGATTACTCTGGCTGCTCTGTAAAGAATGGATTGGAGGGAGACAATAGTAGCAGAGAGTCCAGTTAGTAGGATATTGCAACTGGTATACAAGAGGTGATGGAAGCTTGTACCATGGAGTAGCAGAGGAGATGGAAAGAACCGGAGAAATTGATGATGCACTTTAGAGTTAGCACCAAGGTCTTCTGATGTATTAGAAGTAGACGGAGCTTAGAGAAAAAGCAATAAACATGTCTCCTAGGTTTTTGGCTTGAGCAGCTGGAAAGCTAATGGTACCATTTACTGAGATGAGGATGACTAGAGAGGGGAGTTGTTTGGAGATTGGAAGTGGTGGGGATTGAGATGTCAGGTAGAATAAGGAAGTTAGAGTAAAGTTGAAGACTAGAGATATAAATTTGGAAATCATCTTAATATTCATGATGTTTAAAGCCATAGGATTGAACTAGATCATCTGGTTGATAACAAACTGTAGAGGTTATAGGATCAGCTTTGAGCTTTCCGAAATTTAGACTTCAAGCATAGATGGAGGCAGCTAAGGAGATTGATAATGAAGTGGGATGAAAGTGTGTCATCACAAAAACTATGAGAAATAGATGTATGTTGGGAACAACATGTGAGGCAGGAAGTGGCAGAGACAGTATAAAGAGCTAGGCAGAATCTAGGTCATGTGAGTCACATTAAGGATCCTAGGTTTGATTTTGTGGGCACTGAGGAGTCGTTGCTGGGTTTTAAGCAGCAAGATATTACAGAATTGTGTTTTGGTATGTCTCTCTGTTGGCGTGTGGATTTGAAGAAGTAGGAATGCATGCAGGTGGACTTGAAAACTGTTTTAATGTCTTCACAGGCTAAGTTCTGTTCACATACAGGAAATTAGAATCCTGCTCTATTTTTTCTCTCACTGATTTTCCTAGTACAACATGGATTCTTGGTCCATTGTTTTTCTGTTTCTCAGGTGAAACTGATCCTGCCCAGAAATTGCAAGCTGGTCATTGAGATATGTTTTAATTTTTTTTTTTTTTGCCTATTATATATGCACAGTGATTTTAAAATACTTTCAGTGGATTTTATTGCTTTGTTGAGTAGTAAAAGCACAGGTATAAATTATAGGACACTGTTCTTTTATGGTGCTTTAAAAGGCCTAGAAGCAATTTGAGTAGTTTAGCACTTACTGACCTACGCCTAGACTGTTTAACAGACTGCTCATTATACACAGCTCAGGGCATTTCAGGTAGAAGCTGAATACAGGAGCTTGGTTCCGATTCTTCAGTTTTCCCTTTCTTAAGTACCTTTTTTTTCATGACTTACCCTTCTCTGTTAAGTAGGATAATTTAGTTAATCTATGCTTTTAGATAGTCACTAATTTTAGAAGCCTCTTTAGCATTTTCTTATGAATGGAACTTTTATAATAAGAACTTCACTTTGAACAGCTATAGTATTGTCTTCCTATATTCATGATTTAATTAAGTTTCATATTACCACTTTTATTATCCTTTTTAACTTTTGATGTTTAAGTGTCTTAGTTGAGTTTGCATATAATAATAAACGTTAGAAACTTTATATCCAGGATATAACAAATTATGTACAGTCCCTTCCATCAGGAAACTTGCACAAGCCTCTTAGATAGCCTCATACACCAGAGAGCAGAGAGCAGAAGCAAGAAGAACTACAATCCTGCAGCCTGTGGAACAAAAAACACATTCACAGAAAGATAGGCAAGATGAAAAGTCAGAGGGCTATGTACCAGATGAAGGAACAAGATAAAACCCCAGAAAAACAACTAAATGAAGTAGAGATAGGAAACCTTCCAGAAAAAGAATTCAGAATAATGATAGTGAAGATGATCCAGGACCTTGGAAAAAAAATGGAGGCAAAGGTCGAGAAGATGCAAGAAATGTTTAACAAAGACCTAGAAGGATTAGAGAACAAACAAACAGAGATGAACAATACAATAACCAAAGTGAAAACTACCCTAGAAGGAATCAATAGCAGAATAACTGAGGCATAAGGATGGATAAGTGACCTGGAAGGCAGAATGGTGGAATTCATTGCCGCAGAACAGAATAAAGAAAAAAGAATGAAAAGAAATGAAGACAGCCTAAGAGACCTCTGGGACAATATTAAATGCAACAACATTCGCATTATACGGGTCCCAGAAGGAAAAGAGAGAGAGAAAGGAGCCGAGAAAATATTTGAAGAGATTATAGTCAAAAAATTCCCTAACATGGGAAAGGAAATAGCCACCCAAGTCCAGGAAGCACAGAGAGTCCCATACAGGATAAACCCAAGGAGAAACACACCAAGGCACACAGTAATCAAATTGGCAAAAATTAAAGACAAAGAAAAATTATTGAAAGCAGCAAGGGAAAAACGACAAATAACATACAAGGGAACTCCCATAAGGTTAATAGCTGATTTCTCAGCAGAAACTCTACAAGCCAGAAGGGAGTGGCATGATAAAGTGATGAAAGGGAAGAACCTACAACCAAGATTCCTCTACCCGGCAAGGATCTCATTCAGATTCGATGGAGAAATCAAAAGCTTTACAGACAAGCAAAAGCTAAGAGAATTCAGCACCACCAGACCAGCTCTACAACAAGTGCTAAAGGAAATTCTCTAAGTGGGAAACACAAGAGAAGAAAAGGACCTACAAGAACAAACCCAAAACAATTAAGAAAATAGTCATAGGAAGATACATGTCAATAATTACCTTAAACGTGAATGGATTAGATGCTCCAACCAAAAGACACAGGCTTGCTGAATGGATACAAAAACAAGACCCATATATATGCTGTCTACAAGAGATCCACTTCAGACTTATGGACACATACAGACTAAAAGTGAGGGGATGGAAAAAGATACTCCATGCAAATGGTAATCAAAAGAAAGCTGGAGTAGCAATACTCATATCAGATAAAACAGACTTTAAACTAAAGAATGTTACAAGAGACAAGGAAGGACACTACATAATGATCAAGGGATCAATCCAAGAAGAAGATATAACAATTATAAATATATATGCACCCAACATAGGAGCACCTCAATACATAAGGCAACTGCTAACAGCTATAAAAGAGGAAATCGACAGTAATGCAATAATAGTGGGGGACTTTAACACCTCGCTTACACCAATGGACAGATCATCCAAAGTGAAAATAAATAAGGAAACAGAAGCTTTAAATGACACAGTAGACCAGAGAGATTTAATCGATACTTATAGGACATTCCATCCTAAAACAGCAGATTACAATTTCTTCTCAAGTGCGCACGGACATTCTACAGGATAGATCACATCTTGGGTCACAAATCAAGCCTCAGTTAATTTAAGAAAATTGAAATCATATCAAGCATCTTTTCTGACCACAACGCTATGAGATTAGAAATGAATTACAGGGAAAGAAATGTAAAAAACACAAACACATGGAGACTAGACAATATGTTACTAAATAACCAAAAGAAAAACAAAAACAAAACAAAACAAATTGGGCTTCCCTGGTCACGCAATGGTTGAGAATCTGCCTGCTAATGCAGGGGACACGGGTTCGAGCCCTGGTCTTTGAGGATCCCACATGCCACAGAGCAACTAGGCCCGTGAGCCACAACTACTGAGCCTGCGTGTCTGGAGCCTGTGCTCCACAACAAGAGAGGCTGTGATAGTGAGAGGCCTGCGCAGCGTGATGAAGAGTGGCCCCCGCTTGCCACAACTAGAGAAAGCCCTGGCACAGAAACGAAGACCCAACACAGCAAAAATAAATAAATAAGTTAATAAACTCCTACCCCCAACATCTTCTTAAAAAAAAAAACAGAAAAAAACAAAACAAATTATGTAAAAGCAAAAATCTTGATTTAAAAAGCAAATCATGAAACAATTTTAAATAAATGGAATCTTAATAAATTTGATAAAATATGTTGGTTTTCACATGTCATTTTTTAACCTTTAGATTTTGCCCTTATTTCAAGAAGCTGAAGATAAAAACAGACTTTTACGGACTGTGGCAGGTGGAGGTTTAGAAACAATTAGTAATCTGAAAGCTAAGTGGGATAAATTTGAGTTGATGATGGAAAGTCACCAACTTATGATTAAAGATCAGGTAAGAACATTTTGGTCATTTTGTTAAAATGGAAACAGTTTTTTTTTCTCATTTAAGATTTCTTGCTTATCTTTATTCCGTTATAGCTCAGGTTTGTAAGAATTTATAAGCTCAGGTTTTCTGTGACATCTTATGGAAAAACCTGAAGGAACTTTTTGGCCAACCCAATATATTGCTGATGAAATTGACCTCCCTCAGTACTTCCATACAGTAAAACACTTTGTATAAATGATGTTCATGTCATATAGTTTATCTTTGTTTCCTACCGTACCAGGAATGTATGTGACATTATTTTCAGTCTTTCTTATGAATAAATTTATTTACTTACTGTGTATGGTATCTTTTAAGGGTATAATCTGGAAGTTGTACACATCTATTGCACTCATATCCTATTGACCAGCACTTAGTCTTATGGCTGTTAGCTGCATGGGAGACTGGGAAATGCCCTCCTTTATTAAACAGCTGTATAATCAGGTAGAACAACTGGAGGTCATTGATCAAATTTTTTTTATCACATTGATTTTGTTGATAGTTATGATGGATGCTGTTAATCACATGAATGATTTTGTAATGATGATGTTTGCAGTATATCTCTTGTTTTTGTAAATTTATGGTCTAATTTATTTTTGAGTTATTTTAGTGTACTTGAAATCAGTAGTAAAGAATAATCTTTGAAAAGCTGATACTGATATTTTTTGACCTTTAAATTGAAATGTTGGAAATAAAAATGTGAATATAAAGTAAGATTTTACTTTGAATTAAATTATGTAAACTCTATTGCCTTATAGATTGAAGTGATGAAAGGAAATGTGAAATCACGTCTTCAGATCTATTATCAAGAACTGGAAAAATTTAAAGCTCGTTGGGACCAACTAAAGCCTGGTGATGATGTTATTGAAACTGGCCAGCAAAATACTCTTGATAAAAGTGCCAAGTCAATAAAAGAGAAAAAAATTGAGTTTGATGATCTTGAAGTCATAAGAAAAAAGCTTGTGTATGTTTATTCTTTAAAACTGGTAGTACACATTTTGGAAAAGAGAGTTTTGTATTTATATATTAAGCTAGTAATGTTCTTATATTTATTATCTTAATGTCTTTCCTTATAAACTTCAGCAGTTTTAAAAATACCAGTATTAAGTGCTCATGCTACTGCTTTCTTAGGAGTTGTTGAATTATATTAGGATTTTAAGAGAAAAGCAGATTTCTGGTTAGGCCTAGGAATAGAAATAATAGAAGTTATAATAGCGAATTAAATAATAATAATAATAGAAAATTAAATTTACTTAAAAGTTAAATTAGGGAGTTGGAATATTGCTTTATGTGATCTCATTGTACTTAAAAATGGAATATATAAAATTAATGGACAATTACTTTTAGAGCTTCTGGAAAAAAAATGAACCTAGCAAAATGATGAGACTTCAAAGAAAAATATTTGTTGTTTTATGTTATAATAATACAAATATTAAGTTTAATAATTGTTTTAGGTTTGGTCCATTTAGGTAAATGCATCCATAAATTAATTGGCTTCATAGGTGAGTGGAGGTTTTAGTACCACGTTTATTAAGTGACATTACATTAATTAGATGAAGAATATCTTATGTTCTAGAAGCTAATTCTTTCAACCTAGAAGAATATTAATGGATATTCTTTAATCTGTTCTCAGATTAATCCATAAATTTGTGCAATTCTGAATATTTATATATATGACATATATACATAAAATATATTTATATATATTACCAATTTTACTTTGACTCCTTTGGAAAAAATGCATATTAATGAATTTGGAAGAGCTCGTTCCTAAGTAGTTAAGTAAAATTCTTATGTAAAGTAGACATAGCCTCCCACTGTCTACCTCTGCTGTCAGATACATGCACACAAACACACACAGGGAATGCAGTTAAGTATTAATTAGTTAAACTTATTGATATTTAACAGTTTTTCTTTTTAAAAAATTAATGATATTTGCTACTTGTTTCTATAGTGATGATTGCCATCATTTTGGCCTAGAAGAGCCCAACTTCTCCTTGGCATATAGCATCTCTAAGGACATTGAGAGCTGTGCACAAATTTGGGCCCTTTATGAAGAGTTTCAGCAAGGATTTCAAGAAATGGCCAATGAAGATTGGATTACTTTTAGGTTTGATTCATAAATAGTATTTAGATTCTGATAGTTTTGTGGTATTTTTTGGGATGTAAAATTTAAGGTATGTTTCTGGTATTTTACAGGACTAAGACATACCTGTTTGAGGAATTTTTGATGAATTGGCATGACAGATTAAGAAAGGTTGAAGAACATTCAGTAATGACGGTGAAATTACAATCAGAGGTTGACAAATATAAAGTAAGATAGTTTTACTTATCTTACTATTTAAAAATGGTGTTTGGAGCTTTCATGTATCATTTTATTATGTAGTGACTGAACTGTAATTTTAGTTTATATATTTTTAATGATTCCATTACATGAAAAAAATAGAAAGTATAGAGTAAACCATAGAAGTTACTGATATTTCTGCTTCAGTTTGAAAGAAGTTATAACTAAGAAATTTATGGTTAAAGTTATATAGTGGAGTATTTATAACTTAGCAATTAGGATATGGGTCATTTAGCATATTTAGGATGTAGGTCATTTCCTAAATTTATAAAAATAGAAATATTTTAGGTCATATTTTAAAATATATCAAGCTACCAAGGGAAATTTGCATGTATCCACAGCAATGTTTAAGAATAAGTTTTATACAATTCTTTTTAAGAATTTGATTTTAAGATTGTTAAATAAGATAATATAGTAATTAAAAATCTTATAGATAATTATAATAAAATCAAATAATAATTTACATTTTGCTTGTATATATACATACATAAGTCTTCTTGTCTTCTTTTTTTAACAGATCGCAGTCCCTATCTTGAAATATGTGAGAGGGGAGCATCTTTCTCCAGATCACTGGCTTGACCTTTTTCGTCTACTTGGCCTTCCTCGGGGGACTAGTCTAGATAAATTACTGTTTGGTGATCTGCTTAGAGTAGCTGATACAATTGTTGCCAAAGCTTCAGACCTTAAAGTAAGAATCACTTTTATAAATATCTCATAGATCTGACCTTTGTTGACATATTGCTTTATTTTTTATTTAAATAAAGCAGCAAGTTAAATTTCTTTCTTCCCTTAAAATCGTGACAGTGTTCCATTTTTCCATTATTCTTTCATTAGTAATACATCTGAATCTATCGATGGGGTTATAGAAACAATATAAACCCCTTCTTTGAGAGAAAAAATCTGAAATAAAATATGTCTTACTTTAAGAAGGAAGTCAGCTTTAATCAAAAAGCAAACAAGTACAAAGCATTTTATAAAATACATTTAAAATCATAGGGTATATTATAAATAGAAGCTAAGGGGTACAAAAATACAGAGAACTAAACAAGGAACCAATTTGCTAATCAGTTTTAGCATAGGTCTCAGGTGAAAGTAAAACTTGTACAATTATATCATAAGTAGCAGACTTTCTATTTTGTGTTCTGCCCATTTAATGTAAAAAAATAAAAGGACTTTTGATGTCAAATTGTTTTATTTTCTAATATATTATCTAATATGTATACTTTCATCTTTGCTGATAATCCTGGAGCATATGTAGATAATCATAAGGTTATAAAGCATGACTGCTGTAGGAGGTAATTCTAGATGGTTGCTAATCATTTTAGATGTATTGGAACTTACAGTTAAATTACAATAAAATGGCTGAGTTCTGCAAAATTTTAAATATTTTTGTGGTTTGCAGTGGATGCTTAAATTTTGGGGTTTTTTTTAGAAGTAAAAAGCATAAAGCAGAACTCTGTATATATTTGACCATGTGAACTAGATATCTGATATCCCTTAATACATTTGCCAGTAATTCTCTTGGATTTATGAAAATAATCCACTTAAAATTTTTTTTTTCTTTATGGTGCAAAGTCAAATAAAAATATATCTTCTTATAAAATAGATATAACTTATTTATATGATAATGTTGAAGTAATAAATATGAATATTTTGTGTTAAATAGGATTTAAATAGTCGTGCACAAGGTGAAGTTACAATCAGAGAAGCTTTACGAGAACTTGATCTTTGGGGAGTTGGAGCAGTATTTACATTGGTTGATTATGAAGACAGCCAAAGTCGAACTATCAAGCTGATTAAAGACTGGAAGGATATAGTAAATCAAGTTGGAGATAATAGGTGCCTTCTTCAGTCCTTAAAGGATTCTCCTTATTATAAAGGATTTGAAGATAAAGTGTCAATTTGGGAAAGAAAACTTGCAGAGTTAGATGAGTACCTACAGAATTTAAACCACATTCAGAGAAAGTGGGTATATTTGGAACCCATTTTTGGCCGTGGAGCATTGCCAAAAGAACAGATGCGCTTCAACAGACTTGATGAAGATTTTAGGTCAGTACAACTACATAAGACAAAGACACATATGATGGTTTTTATTCATATGGTGAGGTACTTAATACAAGCTAATTACTTTTACATTATTAGCGTCATCTGTGTCTTCAACTTTTTTCCTACTGGATCCTTCTGAGAAATGAGTTTCTCTCATTCAGTTATATACTTGACTCATTTTGATCTGGTTTCTATCTTTACCACTCTACCTATATTAATAATATTTCTATAGTATAATAGTAATAATAATATTACTAATATATACCTAGTATTTCTTAAAGTTACCAATTACTTTCCCATTGTAAATCTGATGGGCATTTTTTATTTTTCATTTTACTTTATCTCTGACTAGTATCTAATAGAGTTGAAAATTTCTTCTTTCTTAGAAAGTCTGTTCTTTTGGCTTCTGTGATCCTGTCCTTTTTGGTTTTCTGCCCATTTCTCTGGTTCCACTCCTGATTCCTAGTCCTCAGCCCTTTCTAAACATTTAGATGTAGACATTCTCCACCTTTCAGCTTTAGGTTTTCTCACTCTATGTTCTCTCCTTAATGATCTTAACCACTCTCAGAATCAATTCTCATCTATTTGCTGAGGTCTCCTCAACTTATTTATTGAGCTCATATTTCTTTTCTGAGCTCCAAATGTATTAAATATCCTCAACATGTCAAAACTAAATTCATGAATTTACCCCCAGTCCCTTTCCTACAGTCCCTTTTCTTTTCTCTCTGGTTTCTTCCCGATAAATGGTACCACCTAACTGCTCAAGGCAGAAGCATAATGGATATCTTTGACCTCTTCCTCCATTTCCAAATCCATTTGTTACCAAATTTTGTTGATTCTAACCTACTAATCGATTTTATTATATCTTTTATATCTCTACTTCTTTGATGTTATTCTGAAGTATTTTTGTTGTCACTCACTTGTACTACTGGCTAATCTTTTGACTAATTCTTATTCTTGTCTTCTCCAGTAAGTTTTTCACACAACAGCCAGAGTAATCTTTTAAAAATGAAGTCCACATTACTTCTTTCCTTTATTCCATTAAGTAAAACTTTAAAATGACTTTCTATTGCTCTGAGGATAAAGCAGATCTAAGGATCTGCTCCTTGTCCATTTCTCTAGCTTTTTCTTGTGCTGCGCTCTCTCTCTCTCTCTCTCTTTTTTTTTTTTTTTTTTACTTTAGTGACTCTAGCCTTTAGTTTCTCTAACATACCACGCTCTTTCTCAGGGTCTTTGCCAGAAACTGTTTCCCTCCTATTCTTTGCCTTTTTCTTTTTCATTATCATTCAAATCTCAGCTTAAATTACTTCCTCAAATAAGTCATAGGTTAGGGATTTCCGCATTAGCCTTTTACTAATTCTTTCTTAGTACAAAACAGTCCTTTGTGCTTTTCTTTCTTAGCATTTATCATAATTTTATTTGAATATTTAGAGAAATTATTTAATATCTTTCTCTGTCACTGGGCCATTATCTCTATGAGGTAAGGCTTAATATTTGTTTAGTGAGTGAATGAAGTAAGAGAATGTGCAATAATGGAGGTTAAAAATGGTAATGGAGTATTATTAACTTTGAGGATTATTTATTAGAAGTATAATAATGTATTGCTGTTATACTGATGTTACTAGTTTGTTTTAAGCAAGCAAAAAAAAAGTCTCCACATCCCTGTTTCAGCCAAAAAATGTTAAAATAGATGTGAAAATAACTTTTTTCTTCTGCAGATCAATAATGACTGACATCAAGAAAGATAATAGAGTCACAACGTTAACTACTCATGCAGGAATCAGAAATTCTCTACTAACGATACTTGATCAGCTTCAAAGATGTCAGAAATCATTAAATGAATTATTGGAGGCATGTTTTTAAAAACAATCTTATATAATAAATTATAAAGTACTTTAATATTTTAATTATTTGAAAAGAGATTATTCTTTTTTTTTTTTCTTTTTTTAGGAAAAACGCTCAGCATTCCCAAGATTTTACTTTATTGGTGATGATGACTTATTAGAAATACTGGGCCAGTCTACTAACTCATCAGTGATTCAGTCTCACCTTAAGAAACTGTTTGCTGGTAAGATTGAACATTTATTCAACAGATATTTATTGAGTTTCAGTTATCTGCCAGGCATTATGTTAGGCTCTTAGGCAGACTGTTGAATAAAATACAGGTCATACACTCAAAGAACTCTAGTTTAGTGGACGAGGCAAGTTAGTAAGTTGACAAATATAATATACGACAATTTCTATGGTCGACATAAGTATGTGGTGTTATAGCTGCATCTGTGAAGACATTTAGCTCAGTTTTGGGTATGTAAAGATGACATCTCATGTGAGATCTGAAGAAAATATAGGTCTTAGCTAGAGGAAAAATGGGGAAACAGAGGGAATAGGATGTGCAGAGGCCTGAAGTGAAGGAGAACATGTCCATTCATTATTGAGTTTAAGGTCTCTTGAGTGATGTCCCAGTGGAGATACTCAGTAGGCAATTATTGTTAGCAGAGATACGTGGGATGGAGATGTAAAATTGGGAGTCATCTGTGTATAGATGATAATTAGGCTATAGGAAGAGGTGAGATTACCTGGTAAAAAGTGTAGAGTAATAGTGCCATATGTTTCGATGTTGTTGAATCATTTTAGTTGGGTAATTGCATTCAGAATTGGTTTGCTACAAACACGATGGTTATTATTTTCTTGAAATATTATTTGTTGGAAAAGAGCTGTATTTTTCAAATTAACTTTAAGAAGTAAAAAATTTTCATCATCTTCACTTGCAGTCAGGGATTAGCAAACTGTAGGCCCACAGGCCAAATCTGAGTAGCTCTCTGTTTTTTTTTTTTTTCAATAAGGTTGTGTTGGAAGGAATACAGCCATGTCCATTATTGTCTATAGCTGCTTTTGTGCTACAAGCAGAGTTGAGTAATTGACACCGAGACCTTATGACCTGTAAAAACCTAAGATATTTACTCTCTGGTGCTTTACAGAAGTATTTATTAACCACTGTATATCTGAAGCGTTAGAGTGCTTATATCTGTAACTGTGATTTTGCCTGTGGAAGATAGTAGAAAGAGCTCTTGGAATCAGAAAGCTTGCTTTCGAGCTCTACCTCTGCTATTTATTAGTTATTAATTTACCTCTCTGAAATCTAGTTTCTTTCTTTAAATTGTAAATAATAACTTACAGGGTTTTTCTAAAGATCAAAATTAGGTAATGTGTTTTTTTATATACTATAAAGTGAGTGCAAATTTTGGGGAAGGGAAATCTTGTTTGCTCTCCCCCTTCCCTATTATCTTTTTGTCTCATATAATGTAAGTGGAATCATTGGTATGTATTCTTATGCACTCATTTGTGCCTGTTTTTTTTCACTCATCATAATGGTTTCAAGATACCTAAAACTATATTTTATTCCTTTTTATTGCTTAGAATAGTCAATTGTTCAAATATACCACAGTTTCTCTATTCATCTGGTGGGCATTCGGTTGTTTCCAGTTTTGGGTTATGAAAAGCTGTTCTATTTCATTATATAACTGAATTAATATAATTCAAATATATTCTATATTATGAAGTATACTTTATGTATTATGTGGTAATCATATATACTGTCTAATAATTATGTCTTTAATGAAACTTTTGCATATAAATTGTTGCTTTTGTAATGTAGGCATTAACAGTGTGTGCTTTGATGAGGAATCAAAACATATAACTGCAATGAAATCTTTAGAGGGAGAAGTTGTACCTTTTAAAAACAAAGTTCTTCTGTCAAATAACGTAGAGGTAAGTAATTCTTTTTCAAGTGTGAAAGTATAAAGAATTAACGATATGAACTTTGTATCAAAATTAATTCAGTCAATTTGTAGAGTAAGTTGGTTAATTTAGGCCTTTTGGAAACATATCTTAAAAACTAATTTATTTTGTTAGGTTCAGAATGATTTGATATTAAAGAGAGTATGTATTTTTAGTCTTTGGAAGGCAGCATGTAATTTTGAAAACAACTTTTGCTTTGGAGTCAAGAAGACTTGGATATTAATTGTAGCTCCACAACTTATCAGCTATATAATTTAGAGTCTCAGTTTTCTTAACTGTAAAATGGGAGGCCTACTAGCAAAGACTTTCTATTGAAAATTAAATGAGATAATTGGCTTTAGGTACACTATAGTGTTTGGAACATAACTGCTCAATAAGTCTTTGTTCTTTTTTTTTTTCTTTAAAATCTGAGTTGTATGAGATGATTTAAATGAACAAGTAAACTTGAAACTAGTGCATTTATAGTACAACTATTGATTAATTGGTTCTGCAGTACTAGAAGTGAACTGTCAAAAGCCTATTACAGTTATACAGCTAAAGCCAACAGCAATAGGATGTAACACATTGAATTGTAATTTTTAAGTTCTAAAGGTATCTTTCAACTGCAAGTCAGGGCCATGCCTTTTCATGCATGTATCTGTACAGTTTAGTAAAAAGTCCATTCCTGGTTAGGCCTCAACATTTTATTGGATGTTGAGTATATAAATCAAGTGGTTGAAAGGATAGAAGGTTTGTTAAGTAGCTCCCATATTTGGAGAAGAGATTTGTTGTTTTTGCTGTTGTTTTCCTTTCTTGTGATTTTATTAGGACTGGATGAACAGAGAGAGAAAGAGCTTTTAGCAGCTGGGTGTAGTGCAGCGCTCCGGGAGCTCTTGTGATGATTAGCAGAGTAGGTGTCTGCTGCCGTGCACTGAGAGCTTCTTACTCCTTAGCTGCAGTGGCTTTTGAACTGGGCAAAAGTTTGTGCTATTTTTAATACTGGAAAGTGCTCTAAAGATAAACAGTAAAAAGCTAGAACTTAAAAAAGGTAATGATGAAAAGCTATTTAAGATTGTAGTTTTTGCTCTTATATTTTATTGCAAATGATACAGTTTTTAAAAGTTAAGTAGTGATCCTTAAATATTCATGCTATTTTTATTAATCATCATTATTATTTTAACTTTAGTTTAAACTTTTGTTATTTTATCTATAATCAAATGAGTGAAAAATGTATTGTTTTGACCTTGAAACAGAATTAGTTTTGTTTGAAGAGGGATCTTAACTCCTTAAATAATATGGTTCACCTTAATGAAGCAATCCCTTCCTATGGTTACAGCTTTCTGAATATAAGATCATCAGGATAGTGTGAGCCAGGGGACTTACCTAGTCATTGTGACTCTAATTTATTGGCCCAGCTATCTAGTTTGATTTATCATAATGATGAAATGAATGGGTTAGTTTTTAAATGTTCATGTTTTTTTGGTTTGTATAGATGGTGATAGTGATAACTAACTACAAATTTTTGAGTTTTCACACTTAACATTATCCCAAGAGGTGAAAAAATTGTTTTCTTCATTTAAATCATTTATTAATAAAAAATTATATACCATACAACACATTTTGGGAGTGTGAGAGTCAATAAGAAATTATAACCTTCCTCCTGAAATAAAAGACTAGAGTCATTAGCTTGTGTTTTTGTTTTATGACTTGTGTAATAAGAAATAATATATTTTCTAATTTTATTTTCAGACTTGGTTAAATGATTTAGCCTTGGAAATGAAGCAAACTTTGAAAGAGTTGTTGACGGAATGTGTTACTGCTGGACGAAGTTCTCAAGGTGCAATTGACCCATCCTTTTTCCCTTCACAGGTAAGGGGGCTTATGTCTAGAGTACAGGTAGGCATGGTGTCATTGGAAGATCCCTGACCTAGAGGTCAGGAGGCTTAGACAACTGGGATCTTTGTTTTCTCTTTATCTAACAATTAACATTGACTAATTGCTTAATATCTGAGTCTCAGTCTCTCAGCTGTTAAATGTGAGGGAGGAGCAGCACAACAGTGAAATTGTCTTCTAGCTCCATTAGTTTGCCATAATTCAGATGCTTACAAGCAGAAGGCCTGCTGAGATCTAAGCTACCCAGGCCATTGGGGAGTGGAACTGGGAGGCAGAATTAGTCATGTATTAGTTTCCTGGTTCCAGATGATTAGTCCATCATTGTTGGAGAGGCACAGGATCTCTAACATTGTCTCCCACCCTTCCCATGGACTCATCTAGGAGGTTGGAGCTGGTGGGAATTTAGTAGTGTTAGTGTTGGTCTGAAACATAATCACAGTACTTAACTAGAACTTTGGCAGGGAAGAAGAGCGCTAGGTTTCATGGTTGTTATAGAGATTGCTACAGGTCAGTGTTCATAGGAGCTCATTCCTGAAACACTGGATGCTAGATATGTGTCTTACAAAACTTGTTCTGGGCCTTATTAAAGTGTAGCACTAAGACTTGGGTTAGATATCCTGCCTTGTTCAGGATTAGTTTTATTGCTGGTTGAGACTAACACTACAGAGGTAAGACATCAGGAACTTTAGTTCTTAGGGACTATGAAAGGCAGGCATTGAGATGTTCTATGATTTCTCACAGGAAAATCTACCTAACTATTTTTTGCTTTTCAGATTAAAACATTTAGTAGCTGTTGGAACAGGGTTTTATGTTGGTTCTTTTAAAGCATGAGAAATTAAATAGGAAACTTGGAACATTCTGGATTCTTAGCCATTTTATCACTCATATCATTTTGTATCTTTTAGCTGTTTAAGTCAAACTAAAATATGTTTAAAAACTCTTGTTCTTAGAGAAAAATAAAAGTAGTCATTGATGAATAATAATGCCATTGAAAGTCAGAGTTAAAATGCTTTATTATCTCTGGAAATGTTTCCTAGTACTCTGTCAACATCCAGGTAGGATTTAAATTGACTTAGAGTAAAAGACACAATATTAAAAAATATACAAAAGTAAGAATTGCATAATAATTAGATTGAGTAAATGACAGTTATATCAGGAGATATACTGGGAGCTACAGGCTAAAAGAATGTTGCTGGATTTGAGCCTGAAACTTAGTTCTGGGCTCTGAGCAGTCAAGTAAAAATATGAACTACTAAACATGTATACAGTTCATAATCTATCAAAACAAAGAATTCTAGTTTATTAGCAGTTAATGTTAAGAAAAAATTATCTCAAGAGCATTTATATAAGGGGATTGAATAGTATAACTGGTTACATGAATGTCTGGTACAGGTTACTGTGTACTATTAATTCAGTTCTCTAAAGACATCTTTGTAAGGACCTGAAATAATGTAGAGAAAGCACTTTCTGGTCTGGGAAGGAGGCAGCATGATAAAGTAGAAAAAATCTGACAGACCTTGGTTCAAATCCTACCTTTTCCAGTTATACTTTGAGTGATTCCTTTTGACACTTAGTTAAGAGGGTATAATAATACCTCCACGGCAACTCATTTTGAAGGTTAAATTATATAATGTTTGCAGAGCACCCTTAACGACCGTTACATTTTAGACAATGTTAGTGTTTGTCCAGGTATCTTAATGGTAATGTGACACGAGAATTAGGTAAGACTGTATCTTGAGCATCATTTCTGTTAGCCTCTCATAGAAATCGTATAGCAGACTGTTAAAAATTGAGATATCGATGTGCATTATTATTAAAATTTATTTATAATACAGAAATTCAGTAGTATTGCCTGAGTGGAAATCCATATATATGACTATTAGTTTCAAGGTGGCAAGTGAAGATTTTCATATGAAAATTAAAAAGCGAAGTCTTTTCTCACAAAGCAGATTTGGATCTGTTTAAACACTTCACCATATACTTGATTAAAGAAGCTGGTGAGTTTTGTACTACAAAGTATGAGAGGTGACTTTGCCCTGCAAAGTTACTAATTGGCTTTCTCTTTTGTTAAAGAACTTAATGTGGTATTTGTACAATGTTCTAAGAGCAAACAGCAGCTTAGCCTGCTATATTAAGTATTAAAATTATATATAGATAATGGATTAATCTGATAAATAGAGGCATTTGATGATATTTTCTGGATGCTAAAAGGTATATATAAGAAAAAAACAATCTGTTCAGGAGTTAACTGGTCAGTAGGTTTAGTGTTTTTATACAATGATGGATCATGTCTTTAAAGGAGGTTATTGGTTTTCCTTGTTCATCTAAGAACTGTATCAAAGTATTTTAATACAAGTTTACAAAATCTGGTGTTTAAATGTATCATTTGCTTTATCAGTAACCTTGCTATATTGATAATATTATAGAAATCCTCTCAAATGGCATTAATATTTCATATTTTATGTAAACATGAAGTTGATCTGTATTTAGTTTCTGTTTATGGGTATTAGACTGAAAGATTAAGACAGACTTTAATTTAGGATAAAATTGGTGTTTTGAAATTGTAGACTTCAGTAGTATGCTGAGAGATTATTTTGGAATGCTAGAAGATTACTCTTTTTATTAAATAGAATGCATCATACTCTGTTATCTTTGCATCTTACTGGTTAAAAAGAAGCCATTTATGAGGAGAGTCATGGGAAGAAAGTACAAAGCACTTAGGTTATAATAAGCTTGGTGGGCTCTAAGACCCAAAAATAGGCCTATAGGAGAATAGTAAAAGATGAGCTCTGAGAAGTAAGCTTGGGCTGCATCACACATGCTTTTTCTACAAATGTATTGCTCTATTAATATATGAGGTGCCAGTAAGACATTCAGGTAGAGAGGTCCAATATGTAATTGGAAATTTGGAAAAAGGTATCTTTCCTTAAATTTATAAAATATTTCTAAGTAAATTCAGCTTTAAAAAATAATTTTTCTCTTTATTCATTAGATATTATGCTTGGCAGAGCAGATTAAATTCACTGAAGATGTAGAAAATGCCATCAAAGATCATAGTCTTCATCAGATTGAAACACAACTGGTGAATAAGTTAGAGCACTATACTAACATTGATACAAGTTCTGAGGATCCAGGGAATACTGGTATGGGAAAATATTCCATTTTCTGCCTACTTTTGGGTTATTTGAACATTTTTTTAGTATTCTATCTTAATTTATCTATTGTGCTTTTGTCTGTCAATCAATCATCTGTGTGTCTATTTTGGAGGTTACTTTAGGAATTACAATATACATACTTTTATATTGTACTTAGAATCAATAATTTACTATTTTAAGTGGAATGTAGAAACCTTACCACCATATGGGTTTCTTTATCCTCCCCTTTTTATGTTGTTTTCAATGTCTATAGATATCTATATACATTGAAAACTCCATGAGATTATAATTTTTTTCTTTAACTGTCAAATGTATTTTAAAGGACCTGAGAATAGTCTATTATATTTATCTAGATGCTTACCATTTCTGTTGCCCATCCTTCAACCTCCAAGTTTCCTTCTGCTGTCATTTTCTTTCTTTGAAGAATTTTCTTTAGTGTTTCTTTTAGAGCCCATTTACTGACTATGAATCTTACAGATTTCCTTCTCTTGAGAATGTCTTCATTTCACCTTTATTATTGTCTTTTCTGCTGTGAGTTGATTTTTTTGGTTCTTTTCATGTTGAATGATTTTGGATTGTATCCTGGACATTTTGCATATTGTGTTATAAGAGTCTGAGTCTTCTTTAAATTTGCTGGATAATGTTGATATTTTTCTGTTAGCAAGTGATCTTGTTGGGTTCAGGCCACAAGTTTCAGCCAGCTTTCTGTGGGTTGTGGTTCCAATGTCTGTTCTGTCTTTGCTACACTCTTGAGATCTTCCCCACATGTGCGCCACCTAGTGGCCAGTTATCAAAGTCTTTGGTTTAATGTTTAGGATGAGGTCTGCACAGCTCAGGCTGAGCTCAAGAGTTCATAAAGTTTATAGGGTCATTTTCCCAATCTTCTCCCCTTCCATGGTCTTAGCAGTGATTTTGTGGTTCCCTTGGGCTCCTCTTTTGGTCCTCTGGCCAGAAAGCTGGAGTTTCATGTACTGTACTCTCCTTCACACTTTCTGTGACTGTGCCCATGTCTTGGACCAGTTGATGGGAGAAAAGAGAGAAAAAGAGCAATTTGAGTTAGTCCCACTGTCTTGGGATCATAGCTCCTCTGATTTCAGGGGACAGTTCCCTTCCTTCAGAGTTTTAGGCATTTCTGGGTCTCAGCTGCCAGCGCTGAGACTCCTTTTCTGCTTTTCAAGTCTGAGTTAAAAGCCTTCTCCTGGACCTCTCTCTGTCTACACCAGTATGGGTTTCTGGCAGCATTGAATCCAGGCCCATGGATATAAGAGAGGAAAAAGAAAAAGAAAAAAGGTAAATTTACCACTGGTTCGGTGGCACTTCTAATTCTTCCCTTCCCCAATTTGCCTGATACTCTTTACTTTTTCAGAGTCCTAAACAGCAGTTCAATGTATGTTGTCCGTGTTTTATACTTGCATTCAGAGGGAGAGACAGGCTGAGTGTGTTTACTCCCTTGCATAAGGAACCAGAACCCTGGTTTCATTGAATTTTAATATCTTAGTTTTCACACACACAATTCTTATTGGTGGATTTGACATTCTTTTGACTTGCATGATATATATTACTATACTATTCAAATGTATCATGAAATTACCATTTAAATTCATTTATTGAGAAATCATGTGTGTGTGTGTGTGTGTGTGTGTGTGTGTGTATAAAATCATAAAGTACATAAATCACAGGCTAATGTTTTCCCCAATTATTTTAATTGTATACAGAATCTGGCATTCTGGAGCTTAAACTTAAAGCACTTATTCTTGATATTATTCATAATATTGATGTGGTGAAGCAGTTAAACCAAGTTCAGGTTCATACAACTGAAGACTGGGCTTGGAAAAAACAAGTTAGATTCTATATGAAAAGCAATCACACATGTTACGTTCAAATGGTGGATTCTGAACTTCAGTATACTTATGAGTACCAGGTATGACTTGTGGCAGAAATGTTTAATTTTTCCAGTTAGAAATTATTTACTTTAAAGGAAATTTGCTATTGGATGAAAGAGTTATTTTAGCTGTAACTTTTAAGAATTTTTTTGTGTTATTGTCTTCTATTTCATCATAATTAAAAAGATGTTATATTGGAAAAAATTCTATATACAAAAAAAGTTAACATAGTGGCAGTGTTGTGCTGAATTCTCTAAATGTACCTTTTCTTAGAGCAGTATTTATTTATACAGATTGAAATATAGTTTTAATCTAAAGAGAATTGAATATTAGGCAACCTCAATGGAAACAATTTGGTTTGTGCCTCCTTTTACAAGGCCAAAATTAGTGCAATTCTTAATATGTCAAAGTACGTTTGTTAAATATTCTCAGTTTGTAAGGTAAAAGAATTTTCAAGCAAATAACCTAGCTCATGTAACCTGTTCTCAAAAAATCCAGCTGTATCCTCTCTGCCTTCTTCCATCATAGTGAGTCAATCATAAGGATATATTTGACATTTATGTTAATAAGCATATGTCAAGAGAGTTGCCAGCTAGCTCTTTCAAAAAGGAAATGTATTTTGAGACCCAAATCTGTCCACCTAAATTAAAGAAAAACTATAAAATGCAGCTTGAATTGGACTCTATTTCTGCTAAAATTTAGTAGCAATTTTGAGAATTATTTGATAGGTTAAGATTATTAATTTCATAAGGAGTTTTTCAAATTAATTATACTTTGAGGTTTCCAAAGTAGTTCTGATTTTTGAAGATTGTAAGATTCCAGGAAGTAATTTACATGAATTTTAAAATACAAAATAGGATGATTATTGTACATAATTATATTGAATTGTATTGGAAAGTGTATAATTGTATACAGTTTCTGGATTTGCCTGCCTTAGAGGTATATCTTTGTGACATTATCAAGAACTTGAGAGACTATTTGGAAAACCTGACAGTATGTCAATTGAGGATAGAATAAAATACATGCTTGAGAAATAACTAAGTTTAATTCCAGTTTGTGCTTTAGAAAGTTTCTTGAATTACTAAAAAAATTTTTGTATATTTTTTCTGTTAACAACTTTAAACTATTTTTTGCCTTTTTAAATTTTTAACTAGAATTGCTATTTAACTACACTATATAATATTTGTACATATTGAATAGAATATGAATATTTGAAATTTATATTTCTCTTGTGTAGGGTAATGCTCCCAAGCTGGTTTACACTCCACTGACAGACAAGTGCTACTTAACTCTCACTCAAGCCATGAAGATGGGACTTGGAGGAAATCCGTACGGACCAGCTGGAACTGGAAAAACTGAATCAGTAAAGGCTTTAGGTGGACTTCTTGGAAGACAAGTTTTAGTTTTTAATTGTGATGAGGTAGAATAAATAATTATCAAACGCTATAATAGTGTCTTAGATGTTTGGAATAGTTTTCACATACTTGCATATGAAATGCTCTATTTTAAAATCACTCTTCTTTTAAATCACTTGAAAGTGGATTTTATTTGAGAAGTAAAATGGAGAGAGGTTGCACATAGTGTAGTCCAAAAACTTTTCTAAAGAGAACTATTACATAGAAATAATTTTAAATACAGAATGAAGCTTTATATTAGAGTAGAGGAAAAATCTTAAATTCTTATTAAGTTACCATTTTCAAAACATTGTGTGTATTTTGACTTAAAGAATAACTGAAACAAAATCTTATACTTGTTTAGTTCTGTGTACTTTTCAGAACACTTTCACATGAATTATTTTGTTTACTCCTTGAAACCATCCTAGGTTTTGAAAGAGTAGCTATTTAATCTCTGCTTAAAAAAGAACTAAAGAGGTATAGATGGGTGAAATGATTACCTTCTCACTAAGTGACATAAAGTATTAAATTATTATTAGAGATTTTAATTATTTTTATTGAATATAATTTTTATTGTTATTTTTAAGGGCATCGATGTGAAGTCAATGGGACGAATATTTGTTGGTTTGGTGAAGTGTGGGGCCTGGGGTTGCTTTGATGAATTCAATAGACTAGAAGAATCTGTACTGTCAGCAGTTTCTATGCAAATCCAGACAATTCAAGATGCTTTGAAGAATCATAGAACTGTATGTGAACTGCTTGGCAAGGAGGTATAGTATATATTGGGAATTTAAAGAATTAAACTATTTTATAAGACTTTGCGTTACTCATACTCAGGCAAACAGTCTATCTTTATTTCTCCTGGCACCTCTGTTGCTAATTTGTGACCAGTGTGTTAAACCTTTTTACCTGTGAATTGTCTCTGAGTTTCTCACCCTTTTTGGGTCCCATTTCCACCATTTATCTTCAAACTTTTTTTTTTTTTTTTTTCTGCGGTACGCGGGCCTCTCACTGTTGCGGCTTCTCCCGTTGCGGAGCACAGGCTCCGGACGCGCAGGCTCAGTGGCCATGGCTCACGGGCGCAGCCGCTCCGCGGCATGTGGGATCTTACCAGACTGGGACATGAACTCGTGTCCCCTGCATCGGCAGGCGGACTGTCAACCACTGCGCCACCAGGGAAGCCCCATCTTCAAACTTTTGATATTGAATAATCCAGTTATAATAATATTTGCTAACATTTATCAAACACTCTATGCCACTGTGCTTAGTGCTTTTATGCATTGTTTCATTTAGTACTCATAACAATCCTTTGACTTAGGTACTATTATATTTTTTTAACTTTATGGATGAGGAAACTAGGGCTTGATATGTTAAACATAAGAAATGGAGCTGGAAATTGAACCCATGTCTGTCTAATTCTGAAATTCATGTTTTTAATCACTATTCTGTATGAATCTTAAAACAATAAATACTTAACTATTCTTCTGTTGCTCACTTCTCCCCATAGGAGGTATACATTCATGTCATTAGAACTTAAACTTATTTGTATGTAAAACATAGATTTCTCTATATAATGTGTAATGGTGAATATACTGAAAGTTGAAAGAACTGTGAAATTATCCTCTTCCCCATAATAACATTTTCCCAATACAAGTTTTTCAGGGTAGACCAAGGAAGTAGGACCCCTTCTAACTTGCCTGTTACTTACATGATGTTTCAACTCTTTCTTAACAAAGAAAAGAGAAATTCTTCAGTTTTTACCTCTCTGTCATCAAAATTTATTTTCTCCCTGTTCATTTTTTGTCAGTTCCTCCTCTTAGAAAGAAAAATTGTCCTTTTTCCCAACTCAAACTAATTTTTCCATCTATACTTTGGAATCTGCTTCCAAGGGACCTTCTCTTCAGAGTTATCTCTGTCCTTCTACTCATTTCTCGTTGGCTTTTAAACATAATCACATATTTTCCTTCTTAATAATGTATTATATTATATTAGATATAATGATACTGTAATATAATATTTAGTATAATTAAAACATAAGCGAACCTTCCCTTAATTCATCTTTCCTTCCAACCACACTTTTTGTTTTCTTTCCTTTATAGCCAGGTTTTTTACTCTAGGTATTTCTACTTCCTGATTGCCCATTCATTGTTTATACATTATAATTCTGCCTTTCTATTCTTAGTGCTTTGTTGAAAATGCTCCTATTAGATACTCTCATGATATTTTGCTCTTATAGCATTTATTAACTATGATTGCTTCTTTCAAATATTCAATAGACTATAAACTCCAGAAGGGCATAAACTATTACTGACTTTAGTTCAGAGTTATGTTGTCTCTGTGTACTTAGCAAAGTGCCTAACACAAGGAAGGCTTTTAGTAAACATATGCTGAATGAATGAATAGACATTCAAACTAGTTACAATCACTTAAACTTTCAGCCTCAAAAAACTGATTGTAAAGAGCCTCTATAAAGTAGTGTAGTTCCTAAGGAGTTTATTATATGTTGAGTAAGGAGATGTTTAGCACACTAGTGGTTGCTTTTTGCTAAGGTATAAGATGTATGTGTAGAAATATGTCACAATAAAACTTCTATTTGCAATATGTTTTATAGTTATAGTTTCAAGTATTTGATGCCTATGTTTTAAATTAATATTCCAGGTAGAAATAAATTCTAATTCTGGAATTTTTATCACTATGAATCCTGCTGGAAAAGGTTATGGAGGAAGACAAAAACTGCCTGATAACCTTAAACAGCTTTTCAGGCCAGTAGCCATGTCTCGTCCAGACAATGAGCTTATTGCAGAAGTTATTCTCTATTCAGAAGGCTTTAAAGATGCTAAGGTGTTGGGCAGAAAATTGGTAGCTATCTTCAATCTATCCAGGTGAGTTTTCCTGTTTTAAATATTTTAATATTTTATAGTTCCATGATTGATCAGGGTTATTAATGACCATTTTCCACATTTGTCCAATTTACCTATTCAGTGATTTTCATATTGGTGATTTTCATAAGTACAATTTTGTATTGTACTCAAGGTGTTGGTAAGAAAGATTTTAGTTTGAATAACAGAAACGTCTGGCTCAAAACTTCTTGTTTTTCATAAATACTATTAATTCAATTTCACGTTTTTTCTGCAAAATATTTTTATTGGAGTACTCCAGCTAAATGATACTTACTAAACTAATTTACCAGCTGACCACTCAAAGCCTACTGTTGTTTGGAGGGAATCTTTCACATTTTTTTTTTTTTTTATGTCTGATTTCTAGTAATAGAGATTGACTTTTAGCTTCTTTGGACAACCTAGAATTCTGGTCCGTATTACTTAAGAGACAGTGAGAACTAGAGTGTCAGAGATTGAGAGCAAGATGGATTGATTAAAGACTTTAGGAATAAAAGTAACAGGTGGTTATCATTTAGTGTCTTCATTAAGATGATAGCCAGTTTGTGAAAGGTTTATCCTGATCCTTGAGAACCATCCATCTTTAACATTTTACTTGAGTGATTATTTTGTGTTGCTTGATTCATTTTTATAAACTAATGTAATATTAGGAATTATTTCTATGTGTTAGTAGTTAGATTCTGTATTTCTTTTAATATGATTACAAAAATAATTTCTTATAGCTATTTGATGATTTATGATTTCCATGTCTTTACCTAAGAGAACTTTTGACACCTCAGCAACATTATGACTGGGGTTTGAGAACTTTGAAGACAGTTCTGAGAGGAAGTGGAAATCTTCTTAGACAGCTGAAGAAAACTAGTGTTAAACAAAAAGGTATGATTCATTATGCCAATTATAATCTTATTTTTTAAAATAAGTTTTAATTTATTATAGTTTTAGATTTATATAAAAGTTATACATATAGTATAGAGGGTTTCTGAATATTACGTTCTCCCAGTTTCTCCTGTTGTTAACATCTTACATTAGTATTGTACATTTATTGAAACTAATGAACCAACATTGATTCATAATTTTTTAATAAAGTCCATAATTTATTGAGATTTTTCCTAATTTTTACCTATGTCTCATCATAACTTTTAAACATGCATTAAATATTTAATAGTTGTGGTATATAGAGGAATAGTCTAGTCCACTTGTGCTCAATCTTTAACAGGCATTAGAGTCATCTAGAGGCTTGTTGAAACACAGATTGTTGGACCCCACACCCAAAGTTCCTGAATTGGTAGGTCTGGAATAGAATCTGAAAATTTGTCTAGTCTTGAAACAAGAACAGAAACCTTAGAAACACGTGGAGATTTTCTCTTTCAAAGATAGTATACTAAACAAAATTACCCTTTTACTTTTTTTTTTTTTGAATTTTTAAATTTAATTATATATATATTTTTATACAGCAGATTCTTATTAGTCATCAATTTTATACACATCAGTGTATACGTGTCAATCCCAATCTCCCAGTTCATCACACCACCACCTCCACCACCACCCCCAGCCGCTATCCCCCCTTGGTGTCCATACGTTTGTTCTCTACATCTCTGTCTCAACTTCTGCCCTGCAAACCGCTTCATCTGTACCATTTTTCTAGGTTCCACATATATACGTTAATATACGCTATTTGCTTCTCTCTTTCTGACTTACTTCACTCTGTATGACAGTCTCCATATCCATCCACAGCTCAACAAATGACCCAATTTAGTTCCTTTTTATGGCTGAGTAATATTCCATTGTATATATGTACCACAACTTCTTTATCCATTCATCTGTCGATGGGCATTTAGGTTGCTTTCATGACCTGGCTATTGTAAATAGTGCTGCAGTGAACATTGGGGTGCTTGTGTCTTTTTGCATTATGGTTTTCTCTGGGTGTATGCCCAGTAGTGGGATTGCTGGATCATATGGTAATTCTATTTTTAGTTTTTTAAGTAACCTCCATACTGTTCTCCATAGTGGCTGTATCAATTTACATTCCCACCAACAGTGCAAGAGGGTTCTCTTTTCTCCACACCCTCTCCAGCATTTGTTGTTTGTAGATTTTCTGATGAAGCCCATTCTAACTGGTGTGAGGTTATACTTCATTGTAGTTTTGATTTGCATTTCTCAAATAATTAATGATGTTGAGCAGCTTTTCATGTACTTCTTGGCCATCTGTATGTCTTCTTCAGAGAAATGTCTATTTAGGTCTTCTGCCCATTTTTGGATTAGGTTGTTTGTTTTTTAATATTGAGCTGCATGAGCTGTTTATATATTTTGGAGATTGACCCTTTGTCCATTGATTCATTTGCAAATATTTTCTCCCATTCTGAGGGTTGTCTTTTCGTCTTGTTTATGGTTTCCTTTGCTGTGCAAAAGCTTTGAAGTTTCATTAGGTCCCATTTGTTTATTTTTATTTCCATTACTCTAGGAGGTGGATCAGAAAAGATCTTGCTGTGATTTATGTCAAAGAGTGTTCTTCCTATGTTTTACTCTAAAAGGTTTATAGTATCCAGTCTTATATTTAGGTCTCTAATACATTTTGAGTTTGTTTTTGTGTATGGTGTTAGGGAGTGTTCTAATTTCCTTCTTTTGCATGTAGCTGTCCAGTTTTCCCAACACCACTTATTGAAGAAACTGTCTTTTCTCCATTGAATATCCTTGCCTCCTTTGTCATAGATTAACTGACCATAGGTGCATGGGTTTATCTCTGCGCTTTCTATCTTGTTCCATTGATTTGTGTTTCAGTTTTTGTGCTAGTACCATATTGTCTTGATTACTATAGCTTCGTAGTATAGTCTGAAGTCACGGAGTCTGATTCCTCCAGCTCCGCTTTTTTCCCTCAAGACTGCTTTGGCTCTTTGGGGTCTTTTGTGTCTCCATACAAATTTTAAGATATTTTTTTCTAGTTCTGTAAAAAATTCCATTGGTAATTTGATAGGGATTGCATTGAGTCTGTAGATTGCTTTGGGTAGGATAGTCATTTTCACAATATTGATTTTTCCAGTCCAAGAACATGGTATATCTCTCCATCTGTTTGTATCATCTTTGATTTCTTTCATCAGTGTCTTTTAGTGTCCTGTATACAGGTCTTTCGTCTCCCTAGGTAGGTTTATTCCTAGGTATTTTATTCTTTTTGTTGCAATGATAAACGGTAGTGTTTCCTTAATTTCTCTTTCAGATTTTTCATCATTACTATAAAGGAATGCAAGAAATTTCTGTGCATTAATTTTGTATCCTGCAACTTTACCAAATTCATTGATTAGCTCTAGTAGTTTTCTGGTGGCAACTATAGGATTCTCTATGTATAGTATCACGTCATCTGCAAGCAGTGACAGTTTTACTTCTTCTTTTCCAATTTGTATTCCTTTTATTTCTTTTTCTTCTCTGATTGCCGTGGACAGGACTTCCAATACTATGTTGAATAATAGTGGTGAGAGTGAACATCCTTGTCTTGTTCCTGATCTTAGAGGAAATGCTTTCAGTTTTTCACCATTGAGAATGATGTTTGCTGTGGGTTTGTTGTATATGGCCTTTATTATGATGAGGAAGGTTCCCTCTATGTGCACTTTCTGGAGAGTTTTTATCATAAGTGAGCGTTGAATTTTGTCAAAAGCTTTTTCTGTATCTATTGAGATGAACATATGGTTTTTCTTCTTCAATTTGTTAATATGGTGTATCACATTGATTGATTTGCTTATAATGAAGACTCCTTGCATCCCTGGGATAAATCCCACTTGATCATGGTGTATGATCCTTTTAATGTGTTGTTGGATTCTGTTTGCTAGTATTTTGTTGAGCCTTTTTTGTTTTTTTTGCGGTATGCGGGCCTCTCACTGCTATGGCCTCTCCCGTTGTGGAGCACAGGATCCGGACGCGGAGACTCAGCGGCCATGGCTCACAGACCCAGCCATTTCGTGGCATGTGGGATCTTCCTGGACCAGGGCACGAACCCGTGTCCCCTGCATTGGCAGGTGGACTCTCAACCACTGTGCCACCAGGGAAGCCCTGTTGAGGCTTTTGCATCTATATTCATCAGTGATATTGGTCTGTAATTTTCTTTTTTTCTAGTATCTTTGTCTGGTTTTGGTATCACGGTGATGGTGGCCCTAAAGAATGAGTTTTGGAGTGTTCCTTCCTCTGCAGTTTTTTGGAAGAGTTTGAGAAGGATGGGTGTTAGCTCTTCTCTAAATGGTTGATAGAATTCACCTGTGAAGCCATCTGTTCCTGGACTTTTGTTTTTTGGAGGATTTCATTACTTGTGATTGGTCTGTTCATAGTTTCTATTTATTCCTGGTTCAGTCTTGGAAGATTATACCTTTCTAAGAATTTGTCCATTTCTTCCAGGTTGTCCATTTTATTGGCATAGAGTTGCTTGTAGTAGTCTCTTAGGTTGCTTTGTATTTCTGCGGTGTCTGTTGTAACTTCTCCTTTTTCATTTTTAGTTTTGTTGATATGAGTCCTCTCCCTCTTTTTCTTGATGAGTCTGGCTAATGGTTTATCAATTTTCTTTATCTTCTCAAAGAACCAGCTTTTAGTTTTATTGATCTTTGCTATTGTTGTCATTGTTGTCTTTCTATTTCATTTATTTCTGCTCTGATCTTTATGCTTTCTTTCCTTCTGCTAACTTTGCATTTTGTTTGTTCTTCTTTCTCTAGTTCCTTTAGGTGTAAGGTTAGATTGTTTATTTGAGATGTTTGTTGTTTCTTGATGTAGGCTGGTATAGCTATAAACATCCCTCTTAAACTGCTTTTGCTGCATCCCATAGGTTTTAGATCATTGTGTTTTCATTGTCATTTGTCTCTAAGTATTTTTTGATTTCCTCTTTGATTTCTTCAGTGATCTCTTGGTTATTTAGTAATATATTGTTTACCCTCCATGTGTTCGTGTTTTTTATGTTTTTTTCCCTGTAATTCATTTCTGATCTTATAGCATTGTGGTCAGAAAAGATGCTTGATATGATTTCAATTTTCTTAAATTTACTGAGGCTTGATTTGTTACCCAAGATGTGATGTATCCCATGTGCACTTGAGAAGAAAGTGTAATCTGCTGTTTTAGGATGGAATGTCCTATAAATATCAATTAAATCTCTCTGGTCTATTGTGTCATTTAAAGCTTCTGTTTCCTTATTTATTTTCATTTTGGATGATCTGTCCATTGGTGTAAGTGAGGGGTTAATGTCCCCCACTCTTACTGTGTTACTCTTGATTTCCTCTTTTATAGCTGTTAGCAGTTGCCTTATGTATTGAGGTGCTCCTATGTTGGGTGCATATATATTTATAATTGGTATAGCTTCTTCTTGGATTGATCCCTTGATTATTATGTAGTATCCTTCCTTGTCTCTTGTAACATTCTTTATTTTATAGTCTATTTATCTGATATGAATATTGCTACTCCAGCTTTCTTTTGATTACCATTTGCATGGAGTATCTTTTTCCATCCCCCACTTTCAGTCTGTATGTGTCCCTAGGTCTGAAGTGGATCTCTTGTAGACAGCATATATATGGGTCTTGTTTTTGTATCCATTCAGCAAGCCTGTGTCTTTTGGTTGGAGCATTTAATCCATTCACGTTTAAGGTAATTATCGATATGTATGTTCCTATGACTATTTTCTTAATTGTTTTGGGTTTGTTTTTGTAGGTCCTTTTCTTCTCTTGTGTTTCCCACTTAGAGAAGTTCCTTTAGCATTCATTGTAGAGTTGGTCTGGTGGTGCTGAATTCTCTTAGCTTTTGCTTGTCTGTAAAGCTTTTCATTTTTCTATCAAACCTGACTGAGATTCTTGCTGGTAGAGTAGTCTTGGTTGTAGGTTCTTCCCCTTCATCACTTTAAATATGTCCTGCCAGTCCCTTCTAGCTTATAGAGTTTCTGCTGAGAAATCAGCTGTTAACCTTATGGGAGTTCCCTTGTATGTTATTTGTCATTTTTCCCTTGCTGCTTTCAATAATTTTTCTTTGTCTTTAATTTTTGCCAATTTGATTATTATGTGTCTTGGCGTGTTTCTCCTTGGGTTTATCCTGTATGGGACTCTTTGTGCTTCCTGGACTTGGGTGGCTATTTCCTTTCCCATGTTAGGGAAGTTTTTGACTATAATCTCTTCAAATATTTTCTCGGCTCCTTTTTTTCTCTCTTCTCCTTCTGGGACCCCTATAGTGTGAATGTTGTTGTGTTTAATCTTGTGCCAGAGGTCTCTTAGGCTGTCTTCATTTCTTTTCATTCTTTTTTCTTTATTCTGTTCTGTGGCAGTGAATTCCACCATTCTGTCTTCCAGTTCACTTATCCGTTCTTCTGCCTCAGTTATTCTGGTATTGATTCCTTCTAGTGTATTTTTCATTTCAGTTATTGTATTTTTCAATCTGTTTGTTTGTTCTTTAATTCTTTTAGGTCTTTGTCAAACATTTCTTGCATCTTCTCAATCTTTGCCTCCATTCTTTTTCCGAGGTCCTGGATCATCTTCACTATCATTATTCTGAATTCTTTTTCTGGAAGGTTTCCTATCTCTACTTCATTTAGTTGTTTTTCTGGGGTTTTATCTTGTTCCTTCATCTGGTACATAGCCCTCTGCCTTTTCATCTTGTCTATCTTTTTGTGAATGCGGTTTTTGTTCCACAGGCTGCAGGATTGTAGTTCTTCCTTCTGCTGTCTGCCCTCTGCTGGTTGAGGCTATCTAAGAGTCTTGTGCAAGTTTCCTGATGGGAGGGAGTGGTGGTGGGTAGAGCTGGCTGTTGCTCTGGTGGGCAGAGCTCAGTAAAACTTTAATCCACTTGTCTGCTGATAGGTGGGGCTGGGTTCCCACCCTATTGGTTGTTTGGCCTGAGGCGAGCCAACACTGGAACCTGCAGGCTCTTTGGTGGGGCTAATGGCGGCCTCTGGGATGGCTCATGCCAAGGAGTACTTCCCAGAACTTCTGCTGCCAGTGTCCTTGTCCTCACGGTGAGCCACAGCCACCCACTGCCTCTGCAGGATACCCTCCAACACTAGCAGGTAGGTCTGGTTTAGTCTCTCCTGTGGTCACTGCTCCTTCCCCTTGGTCCCGATGTGCACACTACTTTGTGTGTGCCCTCCAAGAGTGGAGTCTCTGTTTCCCCCAGCCCTGTCAGAGTTTTGCAATCAAATCTCGCTAGCCTTCAATGTCTGATTCTCTAGGAATTCCTCCTCCCATTGGCAGACCCCCTGGTTTGGAAGCCTGACGTGGGGCTCAGAACCTTCACTCCAGTGGGTGGACTTCTGTGGTATAAGTGTTCTCCGGTCTGTGAGTCACCCACCCAGCAGTTATGGGATTTTGTTTTATTGTGATTGTGCCCCTTGTACTGTCTCATTGTGGCTTCTCCTTTGTCTTTGCATATGGGGTATCTTTTTTGGTGAGTTCCAGTGTGTTCCTGTTGATGACTGTTCAGCAGTTAGTTGTGAGTCTCATGTTCTCGCTAGAGGGAGTGAGAGCACGTCCTTCTACTCCCCCATTTTGGTTCAGGCTCCAAAATTACCCTTTTAAAGAAATATTTTAAGATTATAAAAATACCTTTTTTTAGATTAATTAATTTATTGAAGCTGCTCTGGGTCTTAGTTGCAGCACGCAGGATCTTTGTTATGGCACGCGGGATCTTTTCGTTGCGGCATGTGGCCTCTTTAGTTGCGGCACATGGCTTCTTCGTTGTGGCATGCGGGCTTATTAGTTGTGGCATGTGAACTCTTAGTTGCGGCATCCATGTGGGATCTAGTTCCCCGACCAGGGAATTATCTCAGGCCTCCTGTGTTGGGGAGTGTGAAGTCTTATCCACTGGACCATCAGGGAAGTCCCAAAAGTACCTTGGAGCAAAGGATAATTTTAGATTTATTACAGTAAAGTTGCGAAGTTAGCATTTCCATCATTTCTCTCTTATTTGCTGTGGTACATTTGTCAAAACTGGGAAACTGAGGCTGGTACATTACTATTAACTAAGTTCCAGACTTCATTTGGATTTCACCTGCTTTATCATTAATGTCCTCTTTCTGTTCCAAGATTGAATCTAGGGTGCCATGTTGTATTAAGTTGTCCTGTCTCCTTAAGTCTCCTCTGCTCTGTGACAGTTTCTCAGTCTGTTTTTGTATTCATGACCCTGACAGGGTCCTAGTCAGATATCACGTAGACTCTTCCTCAGTCTGGGTTTTTTTCCTGATATTTAACTCATGATTTAATTGAGTTGTGAACATTTGGAAAAAAATACTGCAGAGGTGGAGTGCCCTTTTTAATTCATTTTAGTGGGTACATAATAACCTTTTGACATCACTGGTGATGTTCACCTTCATTACTTATGTTAATGTTTTCCAGGTTTCTCTACTGTAAAGTTGTTATTTTCCCCTTTCCTGACTCTCTTCTTTGGAAGCCAGTTACTAAATCTAGCTCACCTTGAAAGTGGGGAGGCAAGGATTAAGCTCCATCTCTTAGGGGGAGGAGTATCTGCTTATATAATTTGAAACTCTTCTGTAAAGAAGATTTGTCTCTTCTTTTCCATGATGTATTTATTAAATCATTTATTCAGATCAGTATGGACTCATGCATATTTTTTTATACTTTACCACTTTTTTCCCCATTTATATAAAGTAAGTTATTACCCCCACCAATTGATGTTTGCCTTCATGAAAGGCTGAATATTCAGCCTCTAGGTTGCTATCCAAATTTAAGTTAAATCACCATGAAAATAAGATAACATAAGAAAGAAGACTACATGAAATTACCTATTTGGACTTTAAATGGTCAAAATATACATCTTAAAAAAGGAAACTACAGCTTTTTTATTAGGTTGGCATATACCAGGGCAGATAAGGTATTTGTTGAAGTACTTAGATTACCATTTTTCAGTTGTCTATCTCTGGTGATTTTCATGAAATATATAAACCATACCTGTAGTAAATAAAGATGGCTTACTTATGAGTTCAGTGCTTTAAATAAACTCTAGTGCAGCCAAGCCTCTTTATATATATTTAAAGATAGAAATATTAAACAATTATAGAGAAATACCATACTAAAAATAGTTTCTTGCCTTTATATAGGTGTCTGATCAATTAATAGCTAATATCCTTGAAAAAATAAGAATCTGACGATATTAGTATTTACATTTGGTTTAAGAATAGATTTATGAACCAGTTTTGAGCAACACTGATCAAAGAGTTTTGCTCAGTTTGTTAGTTTTTAGTTTTAGGACAAAAATCTCTGCGAGGCAAATATGCTGGTATATTTGGAAAGATACCTAAATCTGGAATTAAATGCCACCTATAATACTTAATGCTGAGCTCTCTCAGATAAGTCATTTAAACCCTTAGAGACTTAATGGTCTCGTGTAAAATTGGAATAATAATAGAAATACTTCCTTACTCTATACAGTTGTTATAAGGATTACATCAGAATGGTAAAGTACTATGCAAAGAAATGTGTTAATGATTTTTATTATTAATTAAAGTCTGGGTACCCTGGGATTCAAATTCTATGAAAATAGTCCAAAACTCAGTAATACTTGTTTTTCAGCAGTTAAAAGATAGTTAAGTAAGCTTGCCAATTCGCATGATAGCATATGTCTTTAAATGTTACTAAATTCTAGTGCATCATTTAATTACTAATAATGCATATCAAGGCACGTAAAGACTTTTTATAGTCATTAGATTCATAACTAATAATTTTAAAATGAAACTTTTTCTCTAGTTAATGAAAGTCATATTGTGGTACAAGCACTGAGGCTTAATACAATGTCAAAGTTTACATTTGCTGATTGCACTCGGTTTGATGCACTGATTAAAGATGTGTTTCCTGGAATTGACTTTAAAGAAGTAGAATATGATGAACTGAATGCTGCATTAAAGCAAGTCTTTGAGGAGGCCAACTATGAAATCATATCCAATCAGGTAACTGTCAAGAATACTTCATAATATATTGATCCTTTCTCCTAGTTAATTCTTTATTAACTATCTTTATCTTTTATCTTTCAACTTATCTTTCATCTTTCAACTTAAATCTTACTCACTCATGAAAGCCTTCCCTAATTTTCAAGTCCAAATTAGGTCCCCTTGCTATGTGCTTTCCTTACCTTTGTTGTATATACATATTTAATGTTAAGTTGCACACTTGATTAATATTTGATTAATATTAATATTTGATTCTCCCCCACCAGATAGTAGTCTCCATGAAAGGTGGGATCCATGTCTGTTTTACCATTTTATTCCTAGTGCCTGTTACAGAGCCTGGCATGTAATAGATCCATCATATGTGTCTTTGATAGTTGATTATGTATGATTTAGTTTAACTTTGACAATTTCTTAGGAGAACTTCACTTTCGTAGGTCTTTTTATGTAGCACAAATACATGTTCAAAATGAATACTTTTTCCTCAGGGGTATAAATGAATGAATGAATTAGCAAAGTGAATAAAATATTTAGTATATTTTATTTGAATGAATGAGTGAGTGAAGACAATAGTGAACATATTGTATTGTCAACTTGGAAAGCATACTTCTTTTTTTTAAAGAAATATGAATTTAAAGATCATGTTGTAAATATATTCAGATTTGTTTAGTAATTCTTTTATTTAAGGCTTTATCTTCCACTGAAGAAATAAAAGGCTTAATTTATGTTTGAAATAGAACAACTGTTGTCGAATGAGAGTAGAACTGTGTTTGATTGTACACTATAAATCATATATGAACATGTTTCTTTTCTACTAGATCAAGAAGGCTTTAGAATTGTATGAACAATTACGCCAGAGGATGGGAGTTGTTATTGTTGGTCCAAGTGGTGCTGGAAAATCAACTCTTTGGAGAATGTTAAGGGCAGCACTTTGTAAAATTGGCAAAGTGGTAAAACAATATACCATGAATCCCAAAGCTATGCCTAGACATCAATTATTAGGCCATATTGACATGGATACAAGGGAATGGTCTGATGGTGTTTTGACAAATAGTGCTCGCCAAGTAGTTCGAGAACCTCAAGGTTGGTCTCTATTGTGTGATTTATTGATTTATTTAATAATTTTTAGAGGATGATAGAGGTTGTCTATAATGCTATCCTTTTCAAGTCTTATACATGACCATAAACTGCCGTATGGTGATCTACTTTGATATTTTACTTTGGAGGGGTGAAGACATGCTATCATTTTTACCTGTTATTCCATAGCAACTTTTATTATAATAGAAAGAGTAATCTGGGTGAAATGTAGTTTACAGCTAGATTAATCTACTGAATAAAATAATATCTTTGATTGCTGAACTGATATTATAATACCTCATAAATAAGCAAGATAAGTTTTTATTTAGGATTAAAATTGGTATGTGTGTCTGAACTTATCAGTTTGAATACAGTGCTTTCAATAATTTTGAAAATTTGAGTCATAAAATAGTAGACTTTCTGGTCTAAATTTTTTGGCTTGGTGTTTAACAGAATTCTTGGTCAGACTCCCTACTTTTTGTTAGATCATAATTTAATTAATAGTTGTTTTCCTAAGCCAGTGAATGAAAGGTTTAGAATGTCTTAAGACATTGGAAGGAATTTTCAGTGTATAGTGTCTTCATTTTCAATGTAGTTGATATTATCACACTAAATAAAAACCAGATATACCTGTTTCTCCCACTTTTATGGGGGATATTTTCTTCTTTGAATTGTTTCAAAGGTCCAAGAACAACTTGAAACCACTTTCGTCTTAGGAAATATATGTTAAAAACAGTTTGTTTTGGAAAGACTTGTGTACTCAACTTGTTCACTGCTTCTCCCCTCTGAAGTCACCTTTTTATATATCAAAGAAATTTGGTGGTGGTGTATTTTTTAGTTCTCATGTAGGACACTAAGGAGTAGGTTTCTCATATTTTCTAAAAGTGCTATTACGCAGCAAGCATTCATACATTCTAATGACATGGTAGAAGACAAAAGTCTAAGGAATATCTCACAAGCTTGTGGAAATAGAAATACCTAGGTCTTGCAAACCATGTTTTCTTTTACTGAGAATCCAGTTCTGTATGTTCATAGATCAATAGAGCCTTATTACAGGGTATATAACTGGGTCTCTGACCAGCTGAGCCAGGATTGCCCATGGGTTCTCCACACATTTGTATTGTGTTAATTCACATGAAAAATTTCAACTTGTTCAACTTTTTGTTCTTTATATTTGGCTTCAGAAGTATAAAATAATATGGAAATTACTTCTAAAGAATAAGTGATAATTATTTTCTTCTTTATTTTTAATTATTATCATTGCATTTATTTTTATCTCTACTTTTTTTGTTTGAAAATAGATGTCAGCTCATGGATAATCTGTGATGGTGATATTGACCCTGAATGGATAGAATCTCTGAATTCTGTTCTGGATGATAATCGATTACTCACTATGCCCAGTGGAGAAAGGATTCAGTTTGGCCCAAATGTTAACTTTGTATTTGAAACTCATGATTTAAGTTGTGCCTCACCAGCCACAATATCTAGAATGGGAATGATCTTTCTTAGGTGAGAGCATTTGCATACACTGTATTAGAATATTCTTCAATTATTATTTTGGTTTTACAGCTAAGTGAAATAAGTAATGTATGGGTAATGTGTGAATATTTGTTTTCCTCATTCTTATTAACTTCTTTTTGTTTGTTAGGTTTTAATTCATTCAGAGAGTTCCTGTTTATTGCAGTTGAATTATTTCAGCAGTGTAGTTGTATCACAATTACTAAATAATTATTTTTTGTTTACTTAAATGAAACAGCAAGTATTTGTTTTCTTCTTTTTTCTATAACTTTTATTTAAATATTATGATTGAGTTCAGAGAAGTTTTACAAATTGGAAACTTCTTTACTTAATATTTTCTTTCTTCAGTGTATTTGGAAGAAGCTTGAAGAGCAAAAATAAATAACAAACTGATTTTAGATTTCATATACAGTAGTCACATACTAAAACATGGATATTTGAGCCAGTTTCTTCCCAAAATGAGTAATTAGAAAGTTTTCTTTTACCTTTTGAATTTATGTTTTAGAATTTCATATTTATCTGTCTATATAAAGTTCTCTACTCTTTTAGAATCATTTGAAACCATTTTCGATGTTATATGACACATGGTAGGGTTATCAAGTTCATTCAGATTGTTTCCAAAATTATTTAATTGCTTACTTCTTTGATAGTATTATAGGAAACATTTATATTAAACTAGCCATAAACTCCCAATTAATATTTTGAGGTATTATTTAAAAAATAATACAGCATTGGGTTTATAGCTTTTATAGCAGTATCTCACACAATTTATCTTATTTATTCAATGTATTCTTATAATCTTGTGAGAAAAATAGGATAAAAGGGATGTTTATCACTAAATTTTAAAATATTTATTGAATGCCCATTACCTATATGATGTTAAGTTAGGCATTTTAGGAGAGACAGCAAGAAAGGAGTAAAGCTAACAGTTATGAAGGGCTTATATTTATGAAGAGCTTGTCTTTATGGAGCATACGTTCACAAAGGAGATAATATAAATATAACAGCAATTATAAGCTAGAATATAAATGAAATAAGGGGTAAGTAGAATGCCATATTGTAGAGCAATATGCCTGTATAGCTGCATGTTGCTGTAGAGGATTTGAACATTGTTGGTGAACCAGATATTGTTTGTGAGAGGCATAATGAATATATATGATTTCATGTAAAATACAAAAACATATTAATTATTTTTAGTTGCCTTTTGATTAGATTGTACCTTAGTTTTAGGTTTTATTCATTTCTTCAGCAGATATTTGCACTTGCTATGCAATAGGCCAAATGAAGACCTTTTAATAATGAAAGCGAATGCTATTAATTATGCTGGGATAACTGATATAAATCAAGATTGTCTTAGACAAACCAAGACATGTAGTTGCCATGGGCACTGAGGAGATACTGTGACAACAAAGTCTTTATTCTGAAGGAGTTTAGCATCTTTGCTTTGTCTGTTTTGAGCTTATCAAATGTAATTTAAATATTTACCTTTGATCTTTTCATTTTTTCTTTTGCTTATTAAACTGGATAGAAATATGGGAGGAGAAATTCAGGGACTCAGTATTTACTCGTGTTGCTATGAAACACTGGTAGAAGATGGGAAAAATGATAAAATTGTGAGCCCTTGTAACTTCTAAAATTATTAATTATGAGTTGTTTTTACTATAATTTTTATAAATATGCAACATATAATTTTGAATAAGATGTCTATATTATGTTTAATTTCAATCATTGGTTGTTACTCATATAATTAAATGATTTGCTAAAAAAATTATATTTTACTTTAGGATGATCTTCTAGTTTCAGTAGTGGCATGGGAATTTAGGTGTTTGGCTTTTTTGGGGACAGAAAAAGAAAAAGTACTTTTAAAGATCTGCATTAAGATGCAGTGCAGCTTGAAGTTTAATGTGCATTTGAATCACCCAGGGATATTGTTAAAGTGAAGATTTTGCTTCATTAAGTCTGGGGTGGGACTTGGGATTCTGTAGACCACACTTTGGATAGGAAGGGTTTAGACCACTTTTTGGCTAACTTGTAGTTGTGTAATTCTGCTTTAATCTATACTTATAATGATATAGATGAAATTTATTTGCTTTATTTTATAGAAAATGACATATATATAATATATATATACCTGTATATGTGTATATATGTAGAAGTAATGTATACACACAATATGTATATATATGTAGAAGTAATATATACACATATACATATACGGAAGTAAATAAAGTGAATTCTCACATACTATCAGACAGAGTACATGTGTAGAATGTTTACTGGAGCAGAAATTTATTTTGAAAGTAAATTCACAATTTCTTTCTAACTAGTTTCTTACATGTTTGTTAATGTGTTTCAGTGATGAAGAGACAGATCTTAATTCTCTGATAAAATCTTGGTTGAGGAACCAGCCTCCTAAATATAGAAATAATCTTGAAAACTGGATTGGGGATTATTTTGAAAAGGCTTTACAATGGGTTCTAAAGCAGGTAAGATAATTATAATATTTCATAATTATTTAGGCAAGAAGTATAATGATTGAGTGTTGCTTACATTTAACTGCTTTTTAGTATAAGAGCTCTGACAGAATATGAGGGTGGAGTGAGGGGTAGATGTCTTCATTGCTGTCCCACTGTATTTCATGGTATAACTTTTTATTGTGTTAGTCTTAAAACACTTTAATTCTTCCATCCACGATAGCTTGCACTGCTTGCCTAAAAATCTTGAACATTGGAATGCCTTTCTAAGTTTTACTGGCAAACCCATCTTGCTGTCACATTTTACTGTGTCAATAAATACCTGCATATATGTCATGCTAAAAATAATGACAAGTTAATACTAAAGTAGGGAAAGAATGGTGAGTTATTTATAACATTATTAAAACATTTGTTTATTCAACAAAAATTTATTGAATATCTAATAGATGCCCTAGACAAGACTTTGTGAGGTGAACATTAACAGGACAATCACTATCCCTGCGAAGGGTTTGTCTCATGGAGGAAAATGACATGTAAAAAGATAATCACAATATAACAGGATGAAGAGAGTATTGCTGCCTTCTAGGAGAATTTTAAAAAAGGAGATCACATTTAATTTTGAATTTGAAGCATGAATAGAAGTTTAGCGTGCAAAGAAGACAATTTTCATGTATCTACATGATTTTTTCAAATTTTCTTGGTTTTTCTTTTATGTCATTGCTTTTATAAAAAACATGAACATATAAAAATAGAGGAAATAAATAGCAATGAGGATTTTTTTTTAAGTATCCGATTATTAATCTGAACTTGATTTAGAGGTCAGTACTTGGGGTTGAACAAATCATGTAGAGAAATGGCAATCTCACGTTAGTTTTCTAAACTTTTTTTGTAAGGATGAATGATGGAGGAGTAGGGATTTGGGAGGAAATGATGCAAATGAGATAGGTTTTCCTGGAGACTTCAGGGAAGAACCACTCCCACCAGCCCTCAGTTTGACTGAGCTGTCTACCTCTTTGTGCTTCTGCAGCAATGTACTGTGTCCTTCAACTATATTATAATTGCTTTCATTCAACTATAAGCACCTTGAGGGCAAGGACTAAGCCTGTTATAGTCCTTGTTGTATCCCCAGAACCAAAGTTTGTTAATAACAGAGTAGTGAATCAGAGTATATGAGCTTAATTAAACACCTGATGCCTATGTTTGTAGCACCTGTTCAATAGGTGTGTTGTTATTTCATTCATATAAAACATACAGAGCCTAACAGGACTCTCCAATGCAAATACCTTGAGGTCATTTACTTGCATGCTGTTAGTGTTAGAATGAGAAATATAATACTAGATAGAATGTATTTTAAAAAAGGGGTTTGTGACTATAGAAATGATAACAGGATAAGACTATTAAACCATAGAGTGGATACCAAAGATTCAGTTAGAAAATAAACTAATTCTGTTCTGAGGTCAGTTCCCTGTTATTTTTTGAATTTTTTTTTATGTGTTGAGTGTTCCTTCTTTCTTTATTCTGTGCTTTGTTCACCATGTTCAGATTCTGAGAGATATACTATAATGAATGCTCTAGTCAAGTGCTGATTTTATTTATAACTAGAGCTTTACTTTCTTGTATTTAGCAAATCAGGCAATCTAGAAGAAAATATGTACGTTTCCTTTATCTTGCCTTTAAAGCCTAGAACTCTTAGTATGGCCTAAGCCATTGGATTTCTACTCATCTCCTCCCTTTTTCCCATTTTTCCACCTATTTCTCCATTCTTTGAAAAATATTTATTATGCAGGCAGAGTGCTTTTTTAAAAAAATTTAAATTGGGTCGTTTTATTCTCTTAACGTTTAAAGGCACTGAAAATAAAATTTGCACTCCTTACCACGGCCTGTACAATTGCACATACCCTGGCCCTTGCCTACCTTTCTGACTTGAACCGCTCTTCCTTTGCTTACTCAGGCATAAGCGTCTTTTAAGTCCTTAACTACGCCAGTGGCTTACCATTGCATATGCTGTGTTCTCTGCATGTCAGATAGATCTCATTCTTTTAATGTTAGCTTAAATGTCACCTTTTTCAAAGAGACCTTGAGCCCGCAATCTGAGTTATCCTTTCTCAGAATACACTCTTCCTCTGCTCTATAGCTTCTGCCACAATGTATTAACCATCTCCTCTACTAGACTTGACTTCCATTAAGACAATTGCTCTGTTTAATTCACCTTTTAAAAAAATACCTAGCACCATATACAGATCCTAATGCATAATTGGCTCTCAGCAAATACTTAGAGAAAGAATGAGAACGCTTTCCTCTTCTAACTCCCTGGCAGTTACACAGGGCCCCAAAGGCCCACAGATCAAAATCATGTACATCACCAGAGTCCAAAAGTTTCATTTTAAAATTCTGTGTAGAGAAAAAGTTCCAAATTGTTTTTAAGCCTGCTTTTACTTTTCTTTCTTGTCCAGAGCCATTAATCTAGCCCTTGCCTCTAGCTTCTTTTCTATCAGCAAGAAGAAATGAGGGACTATTACTTTTAGACCAATGCTCATTGATTTACCTTATTTTTTAAAATATTCTTCAGGTTTAGGAAGTAAACAAACAGTGTATCTATTTGAGGAATCCAGCACTTTCAGCTAGAAATACACAATTGTGTTTTTATGATTACTTTTTATTTTCAAAGTTTATGTATATAAATTGAAATCTAAACATTCTATAACTTGAGTAGGGGGATTAATTTAAAGATGATCCTTGAAAAGATAAGTAAACATCAATCTGTGTATGGTTCTAATTTACTGGTTAATATTTACCTTTTGTCTGTAACATGGATTTCAATCAACAGAATGACTATGTGGTAGAAACAAGTTTGGTTGGGACTGTGATGAATGGTTTATCACATCTCCATGGATGCAGAGATCATGATCAATTTATTATTAATCTCATAAGGGGGCTGGGTGGAAATCTGAACATGAAGTCACGTCTGGAATTCACCAAAGAGGTAATGCACATTTAAAGCCTATGTTTAGTCAACATTTTTTGTCAATTTTCATTGATCCTTGGTATAGAACTTTAAAATTTTGAAATTATGCATTTAATACAATAATAATGCATTTATATACAGATCTTCCTCGAATTATGATGGAGTTACATCCAGATAAACCCATCATAAGTTGAAAATATCCTAAGTCGAAAATGCATTTACTACACCTAACCTATCAAATATCATAACTTAGTCTAGCCTGTCTTAAAGTGCTCAGAACACATACATGAGACTACACTTGGGCAAAATCCTCTAACACAAAGCCTATTTTATAATAAAGTGTCAAATAGAATGTAATTTCTTGACTGTTATACAGAAAGTGAAAAATAGTATGGTTGTAAGCATATCAGTTGTTTACCCTGGTGATTTTGTGGCTGACTGCCCGAGCTGCAGTTTGCTGCCACTCACTGCCACTGCCCACCATCACAGGAAGGTATCTTACCACATTATCGCTAGCCTGGGAAAAGATCAAAATTCAAAGTACGGTGTTTACTGAATTCATATCACTTTCGCCCTATTGTAAACTTGGAAAATCTTTAAGTCGAGCCATTGTAAGTTGAGGACCGTCTGTATAAGTACATAGGTACATGTATACTTATTTTCTCCTTTGATTGAAGTAGTTTGTGATATTTTATGATATTAAAATTTTATAAAATATTTAATAGGCTAAAGTTCTGACTATACCTTTTTTGTTAGATATTTTTGATACTTAGCTATGTAAATAAATATAATTATTTTATTCATTTTTAATCTTAAAATAACATATTTTTAATCATTTTTTTTAACCAGAAGAGTTTTAGCAGTTAGGAATGCTTGGATGGAGTAATCATTATAAATCTTTTCTTTATTAAATGCAAAGGTATATTTCAGCCACGTTTATAAAACTAAATTTTACATATTAAGGAATTTCTTCCTATTGGCCTCTGTTGAAATACTTGAACACATATTCCTTTGGGTTGGCTCCAACATTATGTTCTGCATTTTTATCACTTTGTTTCATTGATATCACCATTTATTGCTTTCTCTGTTCTGTTTTTCTTTCCATGGCTGTTCTGTTGCCTCTGTTACCAGATGCTTCTCATTGCTACCACTCAATGTCATATTATATGCTGCTTTTAAGCAGACATTTTATTGCCAAAGTTTAGAATAAAGCTGTTGAAGAGTGGCATTAGGGGCTAACTCTCTGCTGTGTATCTGTGCAGATAACAGTTTTTTGTGTAAGAAAGAAGAACAAGTTGAGAGCAGTGGTGGTGACAGTGGAATGTTCAGTACCAAAATGTACTGGAAATTAAAGGTCTAGGAGTCCTACATTGTACAATTTGTAATTTAGTGTTCATAAGAATTCAATTAAAAGTTGAATATATTTATACAACATATGTGTGAACCAGATGACTTTTATTTGCTTAAATGATCATTCAGAGAGTAATATTTCAGATAAAATGTTACTATAATTATTAAGGATATTAGGTGAGTTTAGTGCATGTGAACTTTTTTATTTTTAAAGTAAGATGATTCTCTTTGGAGGATTTACTTTAAAGAATTAAAATTTCACATACTCTGTTTGGAGCACTGTATATGAAAACCTATCACAACTTTTTCCTCTTAAGGTTTTTAATTGGGCACGAGTATCTCCTCCGGACCCTCACAAACCAATGGACACCTACTATGACTTGAGTAGAGGACGATTAGCATCTTATGTGCTGAAGAAGCCAGAAAACTTGTCTGCTGATGATTTCAGTAATAGCCAAACTCTTCCAGTCATTCAGACTCCTGACATGCAACGAGGTCTAGATTATTTCAAACCTTGGTTAAGTTCTGATACTAAACAGCCATTTATTCTTGTCGGACCAGAAGGATGTGGCAAAGGGTAAGAGGAGAAAAATGTTAATCGAGGTGCATATTGTGGATTTATGCTTCTCTCCTGTTTTAAAATGATTTAACAGCTTTTGTTACCTTTTTTTTGGTTAAAGTAGCATTTACATTTTCATGAAGGACTCTTTATTGTCACTACTTGTAAAGATAATATGACTATAGAGAAAAATATGTCCTTTTTTTCTGCCGAGTTATGTGTTTTCCAATGGAATTAGAAGAAGATGCTCTTAAAAAGAATCTGTGCGTACAATCATAAAAAATGAATACCTGATGTACTCGCAAACTACTATATGCTGTAGTTATAAAAAATGAATCTTGAAGTTAGCTATTTAAAAATAGCTTTTAATTCAGTGGAATTCAACCTATTTTTAGTGCCTCCTGAGTGTAGTTTTTTGGAAATAAAGGAAATATGGATTATTATTTTCACATTTCTAGTAATAATTAAACAATTCTGTAAAGTCATAGTAATTTTTTTTTAACTTGGAGGACTTAATATTTTAAAATCTTTCCTTCAACTGTGGGGAAACAATACTTTTTATGTGTACTTTTTCAAACTGAATTATTTCTGTGAACTGTGATTTTTTTTTTTTTTTTGCTGAAAGAGTCCCAAGAATGCCTTAAAATATGAATTAATTCTTTTTCCACTCTAAAAATTAGAAAGCTTACCTTCATAGCTATGGATAGTTATGGAAACCATATCTATTTTTACCACTTTTCCCTTAAACATCATATGTAATTTAGAAACTAAAATATTTAAAAATAGAAATTTTGTATTGAATATAGAAAGTATTTTATTGGTTGCATTTGTGAAGTCAAATGTTTTATATCTTTCTCAGGATGCTGCTCAGGTATGCCTTTTCCCAACTCCGGTCCACTCAAATTGCTACAGTTCACTGTAGTGCGCAAACTACTTCTCGGCATCTCCTGCAGAAACTGAGCCAGACTTGCATGGTAATCAGTACTAACACTGGTCGAGTGTATAGACCAAAAGACTGTGAGAGACTTGTTCTGTACTTAAAAGATATCAACCTACCCAAGCTTGATAAATGGGGGACCAGTACTTTGGTAGCTTTCCTGCAGCAGGTGGGTCTTATCACTTGAAGTGTTTTAATATAATTGGAAACAATTTAATTTCATTAACTTTTCTTGTAGATAGAAAATCTGCTTTCCATTTTAGGGCTAGTTTTATCTAGCATGTGTCATGGACATTAAACTCTTGAAGCATCTCACACTTGTTCCAGGGCTACTTTCTTTGATCTTCCTCCATCTAAAGATTAGTATTACATCAAGATGATATATGACAGAAAGAGTAAAAACAACCTTTACCCTACACCATTTACCTACCCTTTATTCCTAAAAAATGGAGAAAAGCAGAAGCTGGGGATGGTGCTGGAGCTGGGGAAGTTTTTGCTTCATTCTTTTAGGTATGCATTCTTCTGAGAGCAGTTAGACTTCCTCAGTCATGCTTCAGTCACTGTGGAAGATTTTTTTTCTTTATGTGATTTACATCACATTAGAAACTCTAAATTCTAAATTAGAGCTTAATATACTCATTTTGGTTCACATTTTGCTTTTCTATATAACTGAAGAATATAATAAAATATTTATAGAAAAAATATTATCCTTATATTTCTCCTGATTTCTTTCACTTTTTTTTTTTTTTTGCCATACGTGGGCCTCTCACCGCTGTGGCCTCTCCCGTTGCGGAGCACAGGCTTCGGACAGGGGGCGCAGGCCCAGCGGCCATGGCTCACGGGCCCAGCTGCTCCGCGGCATGTGGGATCTTCCCGGAACAGGGCACGAACCCGTGTCCCCTGCATCGGCAGGTGGACTCTCAACCGCTGCACCACCAGGGAAGCCCTCTTTCACTTTTTTTTTTTTGATAATTGCTGGTGGATTTATACTATCACCTGGATTTTAACATTTATTTGAAAAGCATTTTAAAAATGAGGATAATTCAGCTAACATTAATTGAACACAGAGTCTTTAAAAACAAAATTTTTATTGGAGTATAGTTGATTTACAATGTTGTGTTAGTTTCTGCTGTACAGCAAAGTGAATCAGATATACCTATACATATATCTACTCTTTTTTAGATTCTTTTCCCATATAGGTCATTATAGAGTATTGAGTAGAGTTCCCTGTGCTATACAGTAGGTCCTTATTAGTTATCTATTTTATACATAGTAGTGTGTATATGTTGATCCCAATCTCCCAGTTTGTCTTCCCCCCATTTCCCAGTAACCATAATCCTCTGATGATGATTGCATTTGGAAACAATTGAATTTTATGCAAAATATATCATGATTAGAAAATCTTAAGCATAAAACACTTAAATATATTTATTTTCAAATAGGTATTGACATATCAAGGATTTTATGATGAAAATTTGGAATGGGTTGGTTTAGAAAATATTCAAATTGTGGCTTCTGTGTCAGCTGGAGGAAGACTGGGAAGACATAAGCTTACTACCAGATTTACTTCTATTGTTCGTCTTTGTGCTGTAGAGTACGTATCATTGTATTAAAAGATTTTTTTGACTTAGGGAGACATACATTGCATTTTATGAAAGGTATATATTAATGGTATTACTTCAAAATGTAGAATATAAAAATAGTCAAACTTAAGCTCTGATGTTAGTTTTTTCCTATCCTTCCTAAACTGTAGGCAGTAATTTAGGGTGATGAAGGCTTTAATCAATGCTTGTTATATATTAGAAACAAAACAACTGCTTTGTATTGTCTCTAAATGTCAATCTCAGGAATCTGAACGGTGGGTTTTAGATTTAAATGTTTTATGGGTTATTTAAAGCAAAAATACAATCAAATTTTATGTAGATAACTAAAAAGAGAATTTAAATTTTAACAAAGTAGAGTTAGGTCATTTAGTGGCTTATAATATTAATCATAACATACCCATCCATCTCCATGGTCCATAATTGTTACATGGACTCGAATTTTATGACGCTAGGTCCTCTATTTTGCCTTACAAAATCTTGTTTTTGTGTTTTCATGCTAAACTGCCCCCGTCTATTAACATTCTTCTTTTAGAAATGTTACAGCAACCAATTAAGCTGTACTGAAATAGATTTTGCTTAGGGAGAAACAGGTTGATTTTATTTGTTGTTTTCTACTTCTGTAGTTCTAAGGTGGATTACTGTTCTTTGTACAGACTATACTTAATTCAAAATACTTTTTCTTAAGCAGAATTTTCCTTTGGCCCTTTCTAAAGATCAGTGGTCTTTTAAACAATTATGTTTTTAAGTAATTTCATTGGAATCCTCTATTAGAATCCTTAGTATTTGAAAACAGATAATTAGGGATCTGATTTAGTTGAAGTAACAATAGGGTCTGTGAGCCTGGCCTTAGCCGTTGAGTAAACCTTGGAGGTATTTAGGCCTTACAATTTGAAAACCACACAGTTTGAAAACCATTGCTATAACTTAACATTAAAATAATAATTTAGGGGACTTCCCTGGTGGTCCAGTGGTTAAGACTTCGCCTTCCAATGCAGGGGGTGCAGGTTCGATCCCTGGTCAGGGAGCTAAGATCCCACATGCCTCGTGGCCAAAAAACCAAAACATAAAACAGAAGCAATATTGTAACAAGTTCAATAAAGACTTCAAATATGGTCCACATCTAAAAAAGTCTTAAAAGAAATAGTAGTTTAGAATGTTGATTTATTTCAACTTCTTATATGCTTTTTTTTAGTTACCCAGAAAGAGAGCAATTACAGACAATTTATGGAGCATATCTGAAACCAGTTCTACATAAAAATCTGAAGAATCATACTATTTGGGGTTCTTCATCAAAAATTTATCTCTTAGCAGGATCTATGGTACAAGTGTATGAACAGGTATATATTCACTTACATTGTAGTTTTCATGTCTATTGGTATTACTCCCAAAGGGCTACCTTTAATCCTGATTTGTGTTGATGCTCAGGCTTTCTTTTCCTGTCGTTTATTATACTTTTCTACTGGAGAGTGACTCTGTGAGGATAGATGTTTGTGTGTGTGTTATTCATTATTGTATCTTCTGGCATAGTTTCTAATAGACACCCAAAAAGTATTGAATGAATAAATCAGTGGGTAGATGGTCATTCTGCTTTGATTTCAAATTTAGTTTATTTACAGTGGGGTTCATCTTCTTTTCAAAACTAGATCTTTCTCCTGACTTCTGTCAGTTTCTGTCTTTCAGGCTTCAAACCCGAGAGTAGTTCTTGATGTTTATTTCTTTCCTTTTATCTGTGAGGAAATGTCTAAAATATTCTGATAAAGTGGGGTGATACTTGAAAATAGGCATTAAGGATGCAGAAGATATTTATTGAGTACCTTCTCTTTCCAGTGCTAGTCCTAGGGATACAAAGATGACTGAGTCACTATTCCCTAGAAATGCACAGTCTAATGAGGAACCTGATCATATAAATAAACTATTAACACAGGGTAGTAAGTCTATCAATAACAATATGCACCAGTTGTAGAGATAGCATGGAAGAGGGAGTGAATAGCTTTGTTGTGTGTAGTAGATTTTTTTTTAAACATCTTTATTGGAGTATATAATTGCTTTACAATGGTGTGTTAGTTTCTGCTTTATAACAAAGTGAATCAGCTATACATATACATATATCCCCATATCTCCTCTCTCTTGCATCTCCCTCCCACCCTCCGTATCCCACCCCTTTAGGTGGTCACAGAGCACTGAGCTGATCTCCCTGTGCTATGCGGCTGCTTCCCACTAGCTATTTTACATTTGGCAGTGTATATATGTCCATGCCACTCTCTCACTTCGTCCCAGCTTACCCTTCCCCCTCCCCATGTTCTCAAGTCCATTCTTTACGTCTGCATCTTTATTCCTGTCCTGCCCCTAGGTTTTTAAGAACCTTTTTTTTTTTTTTTAGATTCCATATATATGTGTTTGCATATGGTATTTGTTTTTCTCTTTCTGACTTGCTTCACTCTGTATGACAGACTCTAGGTCCATCCACCTCACTACAAATAACTCAATTTCGTTTCTTTTTATGGCTGAGTAATATTCCATTGTATATTTGTGCCACATCTTCTTTATGCATTCATCTGTCGATGGACACTTAGGTTGCTTCCATGTCCTGGCTATTGTAAATTTTAAGAGGAGATGAAATGTGGTCTAAGGTTTGAAAAATAAAGAGAAATTCACAGAGTAGCTGGAGGTGAAAGAGGGTCTTCTTGGGTAAAGGGAATAGCATGTGAAAGTTATGGAAGTGTTTGTGGAGGATGCTTTTTATAGTATTGGAGTAGAAGTGGGGAAAAATAAAGCTATGTTTTTCTAAATTAGTTCAAATGTTAGGCAGTCAAGGCCAGAATAAGAGCAGTAGCTCCATCCGTAGAGAGGAAGGGAGAGGCTCTTCTCTCGTTGGTTATATTATGGCACTTTGATTTGTTAAAAGTTTAATGATTTCTTGAACACAAGATAGCTCTGTGGGTCCCACCATTATAAAATGGGTCTGTCTTACACCCATGAGCACCTTGGAATTATAACTACCATTTTATAAAATTTAGGTTAGCTTTCCTTGAATTCCTTTCTTTAGCAGGGCTTTTTAACCTTTCATTTTATTTTTTTCCATGGACAACCTTTGACAGTTTGTTGAAGTTTATGAACAACCTCTCTTAGATACTGTTTTTAAATGCATAAAATATAGAATACAAGATAACTGAGGAAATAAGTAATATTGAAATACAGTTCCAGCCACTGGTAGAAATTGACATTCCTATGAATTTAAGGTGACTGAAAAATTTATAGCATGATTATATATTTAAGAGAGTAGACAGATCTTTTACTATATTTTTTTCAGGTGCGGGCCAAATTTACAGTTGATGATTATAGCCACTATTTCTTTACTCCTTGCATCCTTACCCAGTGGGTTCTTGGCTTATTCAGATATGATTTAGAAGGAGGTAAGTTTTGCTTTTATGATTTCAAATCACTTATCTCTCTTTAGAATATCATACTGTGTGTGTGTGTTTATGCTGTATATGTATATTATATTTGTAATAGATAAATGAGTATTGTAATTATAGTATTTTAAAAATTAAAATGTTAATATTAAATTTAAACATGATATTAGAATTATGATATTTTATTATGCTTCCTCTCCTAAAGTATGATTGTCACTATTAAAACTTGATCTGGAAAAAAATGTAATTGTTATCCTTTGTAGCCAAAGCATGTTTAATATGCTCTTGGGGATTGATATTTTTATTGAACAACTAGAAATAATAGAGTTTAATCCTTTAAAGAATCAAAAAAGTTTACCAACTCATTAACAAAATGAATTTTAACTCTTTTTCCCTTTATTCTATTTATCTGACGCCAAAATAATGGTATGTAGATTCTCATTCTCTATTTCTTTCTAATATTATGTTGAAACAGACCATTTTTAAATCATTTGAATTTTATTATAATTAAAGAAAATTTTGCCTTTTTTAGGATCCTCAAACCATACTCTAGCTTACGTATTAGAAATTGTGGCATATGAAGCGCGGCGCTTATTTCGTGACAAAATTGTTGGTGCAAAGGAACTTCATTTATTTGACAGTATTTTAACATCAGTGTTTCAAGGAGACTGGGGCTCAGATGTACTAGACAATATGGCAGGTAATATAGTTACAGAGTTTATGTAAATATATAAAAGTTATGAGCACTTTCAGTTTTTTTCTTACTGATAGCATGATTTCATATATCTAAACAAATGAAAACTTTGGATAATTTATATATGTATTACTGAATCACTTTGCTGTAGAGTAGAAATTAACACAGCATTTTAAATCAACTATACTTCAGTAAAATTAATTAAAACAAAAACGCTAAGACTTTGGAAATTTTAATGTTTTTACCGTAAGAGGCTGCTCTGTCTTCTTTGCTAGATTTCAATAATTATGTTCCAAACAAAATATGATGACGATAATTGTTTTCTTGGAAACGGTTGTTCAGACCGTAATGTTTAACATTTGCAATTCAAAACTGTATTTCCTGAAGGACTTTTACTAATAAAAATAGCCATATATGTGTGATATTTAAAGATCATAGTGAAAATCCATATTTGATTATAATGAACTTTCGCTTGAGAAAGTGACTCATTCCTGTCACTACTCATAATGTCATTAGCACAGAACTCCTTATGTACCCTCTTATCAGCTTCACCCATTATTATGATAAACAAAGCATAGCACCAGTCAAAGGAGCTATGTTGCATTTGCAACTATTGCTGCTTAATGACCAATTTGCATTATGAAATGCTGTGGGAGTGATGCATATAAAATGAAAATCAACATGTTGAAAAGGCCTTTGACAGAGGATGACTGTAATATGGAACTCTTTCCTAATAAAACTGCTTTCAAGCTACAAAATGAATTTCTATTCTATTAGAGTGTAAGGCAAGCCTTCAAAAATATTTCATATAATACATTATGTTGTATCTTTCTAGATTTGATATTGGTTCCAGGGTCATAATGACGTAAGCCAAGGGGAGTCTTGAAGGTGAAAAGGATACTAAGATTGATAGAAGGAATTTTCTAGGTGCTGCTTGAGTTTTAGAATCAGGAAATAAGTTCAAAAGAACCTAAGACAGGATGAAATGCTGAGAGAAGCCTGTTAATAGTTCAAAGTTGGCTTGATTTTGAGTGAGGTTTTATGTCATTGTGGCGTGTAGTTTTCATGGCTTAGCATGGAGAGGCTCTTGTTCTAAAATGCTGCCATGTTTCTCAGTCTAAAAATTGAGTTAATAGTGTCTCGTCTTGCAAAGTGACATATCCTTTGGGCATTAGATAGTATCAGTGTCTTATCCTAATTCTCTAGAATTTGGTATCTTTTAGAGTCTCCTGTGTAGGACTCAATAATGTTTTTTTCTCAGTATTTTACTTTTTAATGAAGGGTTGCATTTAAAAAAAAATACAGGCTTGATATATGTTAGATCCAGGCAAATATGATTTTCACATAGTAGAATATTAAGAAAAATTATTAAGAAAAATTTTGGATGCTTAAAAATTTTAAGTATCCAAAATTAAAAATTTAATTTTGGATACTGAAAAATAAACTAGATACATTCTTGTGCTCAAGAAATTTGTAATCTAATGGCAGATACAGATGTGAAAGTCCTTGCTTACAATGATAACTATTGCTAATATGTTTAGGTGCCACAAAGATTTATGCAAATAGATGGTTAAACTGGTAAATACAATAGAGCATGAAGTGTTTTACAATTAATATAACTTTTCTGAATATATTTGGGATAAATGTTGGATATTAGGGGTGTAGAAGAGTAGAGACTAATTCCTTTTTGAGGAAGTTACTTTGAAATTTTTTATTTTGAGATAATTGTAGATTCACATACAGTTGTAAGAACTAACAGAGAGAGAACACATGTACTTTTTACTTGTTTTCCTTCAACTCTGGCAAAAATAATATAATATCACAACCAGGATATTGACATTGATACAGTTAAAATGGATCAACTCCTCTTCCATTCCCTGGAAACCACCCATCTTTTCTGTGTTCAATTTTGTCATTTCAACAATCTTATTTTCAATCAGAATAATTCTCTGGAGATATATGCAGGTTCTTGAGTGTTTCAGTAGTTTGTTCCTTTTTATTGCTGAGTAGGTATTATATTTAGACATGCTACCATTTCTTTCACCATTTACTTGTGGAAGGGCATCTGAGTTGTTTTCAGTTTTTGGCTATTAAGAAGAAAGCTGCTGTAGGCATTTATGTGCAGGTTTTTGTGTGGAGATTTTTGTTTCTCTGAGATAAATACTCAGGAATGCAGTTGCAGGGTTGAATGATACTTGTATGCTTAGTTCAAAAAAAAAAACCTGCCACACTGTTGTCTAGAGTAGCTGTATTTCAGTTTACATTTCCATCAGCAATTTACGAGTGATCCAGGTGCTCCACATCCGTGCCAGCATTGGGTGTTGTCAGTATTTTCTTATTTTAGCCATTCTGATAAGTGTGTACTGATAGGTCATATTGGTTTTATTTTGCATCTTGCTGACAGCTAATGAAGTTGAACATCTTTTCATATGATTAATTGTCTTCTGTCTGTCCTCTTCAGTGAAATGTCTCTTTATGTCTTTTGCCCATTTTCTAATTGGATTTTTTTTAATATTGAGTTTTTAGAGTTCTTTCTGTATTTTAGATACTATTCTTTTGTCACATATGTGGTTAGCAACTATATTCTCCCACTGTGTAGCTTGTCTTTTCATCTTCTTAATAGAGTCTTTCACAGATTAAAAAAGGTTTTAATTTTATGAAGCTCAATTTATTAATTTTTCTTTTTAAGGATTTTTTGGTGTCAAGTTTAAGAACTCTGTCTAGTCCTAGATTTTGAAGATTTTCTCCACCTTTTTTTCCTAAATACTTTATAGTTTTATGTTTTAAGTCAGTGGTCCATTTTGAGTGAATTTCTGTGTAAAGAGTGAGACTTAGGTCACGGTTCATTTCTTTGCCTATGGTTATCCACTTGTTCCAGCACCACTTGTTGAATAGGCTACCCTTCTGCCTTGAATTGCTTTTGCACGTTAGTCAAAAATTAATTGTGTAACTCTGTTTCTGGGTTCCTGATTCTGTTCCATTGATGTATATGTCCTTCTGCCAGTACCACACTGAGTTGATTGCTGTAGCTGTATAATAAGTCTTAAAATTCGATTGACTGATTCCTTCTTCTTTAAAATTGTTTTAGCTATTTGCCTTTCCATATAAATTTTAGAATAATCTTGTATATATAAACAATGTTGCTGAGATTGTGGTAGGAATTGTATTAGTTCTGTGTATTGGTTTGGGAAGAATTGACCTCTTTATTATGTTGATTTTTCCAATCCATGAACATAATATATTTGTCCATTTATTTAGATACTCTTTGCTTTTTTTCATCAGTGTTGTATAGTTTTCAGCATAAGTCCTATAAGGTATTTTGTTAGATTAACACCTAAGACTTTAATTTTTTGGAATAATTACAAGAAATCAAACTGTATCTTAAAGGATACAATTAAGTGAAGAAGAGGGGTAGGGCATTCCAGACAAAGGAAAAAGCATATGCAAAGAATCAAAGGTTTGAGAAAACTGGGGTATATATTGGAGTACAGAGGGAGATAAGAGATTCAAGCAGTCAGTGGAGCCAAATTGAAGCAAACTGCAAAGGGCCTTGATTAGGAAAAGTTTTTCTTTTAAGGCAGTGGGAAGCTATATGTGATATTGGAGTGCAGTGGTACTATCAGATTTTGTTTTTGTGTTTGTTACTCTAGTAGCAGTGAGGATATATTTGATGGGGTAAAGGCTTGTAGCAGGGATATGAGGTAAGAGGATGCTGCAATAGTCCAGCTGAGAAATGATGAGACATGAAGATAATGAGTTCAGTTTTATGCATGTGTTTGAATGTTTACAAGCTTTTTGAGTGTCTTTTGGGAACCTACATAAAGTTTATCAGTTCTGTGAGGGCAGAAATTATGTTTGTCTTATTCATTACTTATCTCTAACAGGAAGTACAATGTTTAAATACAGGTCTGTGATAGATAAGTGTTTAATGAATGAATACATGAGTTACATGTCATTAAGCAATTCGAAATATGGGACTAGACTAGAGCTGGGAGACTTGCCTAGAGATACGTAGTGAATCGGTTTTTGGTGTATATTTAGATAGTTGATAATCTAATCCACAGAATAAGATTAAATAATTCCAGGGGAGTATTTAGAATTAAAGCATAATAGGCTGAATTTGGATCCCAGTGAAAATAAAAATATAAGGGATAACACATGCCACAGAGCG